ATAGTAAGGAGTGCTAAAATTGGTTATGAACTGGTTATGTAATTAAATCGTCATTAGCTGTGTTCTGTCCACTGCTGGGTGAATGCCTCCCCAAGCTACCAACCTTCACAGTCCTGCAATGCAACTATACATGTAGCCCCTGGACATGATTTGGAATTCGTAACTCCACCTCCATGAGGGGGGGGGGGGGGGGCGGCGTCATCTCAGGCATTTTTTCCTCCCTTGGCGGCCACTCCCATCATTATTCTGCACCACTGGCCATTTTCCCATGAGCGATGTGCCCTGGCCGAGCCCACTTTACCGTCAAATCAAATTAAGATTGGTGTACTGAACTCTATTCCATCGTCTAGGATGATTGGTACAATCAGAATTTGCGTGAACAATTAGAGGTGAGCGTGATTACATTTATACAGCTTCTAGTTTACCGTATTCCACTATAGGCTTTTTACAATATCCACAATGCATCCTTTCAATTGGATCATTGGCTTTAAAAAAAAATACCCTCTACATTTCGGCCTCCCTGTCACATGACTAATATAAGTAATTACCCCAGAGTAGCTGCAACTAATAATAACCGGTGTCGTGTGCCTCTACGATAGCCTGCCAACTCTGCTAGTCCGTGCATTAATTCAGCTCTCCACCTGTCCCTTGGGAAATCCCTTGCAGCCAACACCCTTTTCCACGTGACATTAAAAGGAGGAAAAAAATGCAAGCGACAGTAGAAAAGGTGGGGGGGGGGAGCCAGTGGGGTTGGTTTTTAGCTGTCGCTATAAATCCTGCCTTGCAAATAGCCAACAAAGATGTTGACACTTTTTTTCTCTAGACGTTCGAGAATCGACTTCGTGTTTTGTGTGCACACTTTGAATTGAATAACCCCGTGGCCTGGTACAACGCCGCATGCCCGGCTTGCTGGCGACCTGTGGTATCTAGGCAGATATGTGAAAAGGCAGGATAACATTGGACGAACACAATTGCTAAACTTCGGGCACAGGTCCAAAAAAGGGGCAAAAAAGCGGTCGGCAACAAATATCACTCAAAAGTTTTAATTTGATTTAGTTAACACGTTTATTGAATTGAGTAGGATCTTAAGAACTTTGGTGGGGGGGGTTATATGGGAGGGAATTCTCAAGGGAAGAAGCGGGAATAGACGTGTGTGTGTTTTGGCCTGCAATATGGTGGGGTGAACACAGTGTGGATCGCACAATGTGTGAACGCCTCGACAATGACGGCTACAACCACGCGTTTTTACGCGCTGCTGGAAATCGGAGCGGGTTCCGCGCGCGACAAAAAATCTTCGCCGTGCTTTTGAAGTAAGCAAAATTGCACGCGTGGGTTTAAGAATACGTTGCTATGCGTTTTAAGAAGGGGTGTGATTTGTGAAAATGCCAGTTGATGCACGCACGGTTTACCGCGCTGCATGCGAGGCGGAGAATTGTTTTGTGTGAATGCGGGAGTCGGATATGCGACGTTATACTTGACTATAAATTAAATTGCCTTCTCGCCAAATGCGACCCAATCTCATCGGACATCCCGTAGCTAAGCTAGTTTTGGTTCCCGGATAGTGCTTGGATGGGTCAATCGCTGTACGCAGCACTGTTTTTTTTTTCGCCTGCGAGGCAACAGTGAGGAGCAGAAGACTCTGCAACAACAACAAAAAATAACACAATTTATTGTGCTGTACTCATCTGTGCTCCTCTGCCTTCACCACCTCGCCCCTGACCACGATCAAGTCGGGCAAACAAACAGCCATGACTGATGTGGCATAGCAGGGAGAGGCTCTAATCCATTATTATTGGATTGACAATAGACTGGACATGTACTGTATATTATTAAAGATGTAACGATTCACGACCCCCCCCCCCCACCACGCTTCAATGAATTGTCACAATTCGGGGTTGTGGTCTGATTTGAGATGTAATTCTATTTTGTCGTGTGTTCTCCTTTGTGCCTGTTCTGCGTCATTGTTACCGTGTGTGTGTGTGTGTTTTGTTTTTCGGACGTATGGTTTCCTCCTTTGTCACTTGAACTGCCTGCACGGGTTTGCCTTGTGTCCTGTATTATTGTTATGTGTACCGTTTGTCTCGTTTGTACAGTATTGTTCCAACCTCCAGCCTAGAGGACGCATTTGCGTGACTCTTAAACGAGCTATTCTTTGCATACACAATTCTGTGTGGTAAGCATTTGCCTCCCCATTTAAATCGTGAGTAAATAATCTTTATTTTAGTTACATATCCCACTATATGACGGTATTGGTAAAGGCTATCCCTAGTGGGCAGCAGAAGACGGCGCATCTGCCATTTGTTTGTTTTCTGGTGTAGGTGAATTAATGTTTTTACATTAATTCACCTACACCAGGGGTCTGCAACCAAAATAACAAGAAGAGCCATTTTTCAGTTTAAAAAAAAAGCCCCCTCTAATGTTTCAAGAGCCGCCAATGCATGCGATTGAATACGTCCGGACGGTGGCCCTTGATAATTATTAATGCACACAAAGCGGTCATTGAAGAGCCACATGCGGGTACGGAGCCGCAGGTAGCCAACCCGTGGCCTACACGCTTGCCAGGATGGTGAATCGCTGTCCAATAACTCCCTTGACCAGCATGCTGTGTGGAGGCCCTTGTCCAGCAGTGGATTGACAAGACCTGTACATATACTGTATATTCCTGGTTTACTTGATCTACCATAAAGACAAATAAAGCATAATTCATTAACACATGCTTAAGCCATTCTTACATGGTGTTTGTTTTCAGCCTTGTACTGAACATTCGGTTATGCATAAATACCGCATGAGTACTCAAACGGCCATACACGCACTAAAGAAGTAAATATTTACACAATTGATCGCTTGTTTCCAATACTTATTCAAGGCTGAAGTTGTACATGATTAATTTGCGTCTGCAATATTGTTTAAAGCCACACATAAGGTTGCTCCTCATTTATAAATGTTGCTCATTCACGTGAAGCCATTTTGACTTCCCAGTGGATAAAAAGACCTCCCCCCACACACACCCTTGTTTGTCATGGATGGTTTTTGACCCATTTTTCACCTCCCTGTTAGCAGTGTTGGGTGGGGTAGGACTGGGTCTAATAGCTCTTGCCACTGATCTCTGCTGTGGCCGTGAATTGAGCTGGTTCCTAGTGCAGTGGGCTAACCGCTGTGCGAGGTGCCTCCCTTAACATGGTTGACTGAGTCACTGGTGTAACAGTACAGTACATATTTCATACGCTCCGTTGCCCATGATTGACGTTTAACAACCCAAGTGAATAGGAACGGTTTGTGTGTTCGGTTAACAGTGGCTTGCTGTGTCCTGTGTAAACCTGTTTTCATTTTCTTTCTTTCCATATCAACGAGTGTTTTCATTTGCCTTTGGGTCTCCTTCCGTCCTCTTGAGTGCGCGTGGTCGTCATTGTTTATTGTGTTGAGCACACTGTTTAGCTTGTTTATAAATGGGGTTTTTTACATTGTTGGTGTTGGTCCAATTTATAACTCGATCACTGTTTTCTTTTTCATGTTTTTTTTATACCCCCCCCCCCCGCCTCAATTGTTTTCAACAACAAGAACGTTTTAACTATTCATTTGTCCTATAACGTGCAGCGCACTCGGTCTGCACCATGTTGACTGTCTGGTATAGCTTTTTGATATGCGGTCGTCCCAGAAACTAAGGATTTAGCATGGCTATGCGCTTGGATGAGTGACCGCTGCACAAAACAGGTGGTTATAGGGCTGCTAGGCTGGGTGGTGGGCAACAGAGGGCAGTGCAGGAAAGCCATTTGCTGTTTATAATTGTGGAATACTCATTTGTGCTCCCTGCTTTCCTTGACGAACCCGGACTGACCTACCGCGGTGCATTATGGTTATATAGCCCTCGTGGCTGACATGGTGTGGAGAGCCCCTCCTCAAATAATCACTGTACATCGCTGAGGACTCTGCAATACCAGCTGAGCTCTTGTCTGAGCCACGTGGGCAGCTCACTGTCCTTCATTTTCTGAGTGTTGGGGCTGATTGGTGGAAGCACGCTCCAGTCTGAAAACGTGATTTCCTGCCTTCAGTTCCCCTTATGTTGCATCATTCATGTCATCAACCAGTATACTTATGTCTGGGTTTACAAGAAACTGCTGCAGGATGTGTGTGTTTAAACAAATGCTGCTGATTAACATTGGCCTGGGTAGGCAATTGTCTGGTGGGCTAAAAAATATATTTGTGGATAGAAAAAAAATGGGAGGTTTTTTTTACCGTCACTCTGCAACACCATAAGTTTGTAATTTTCAAAAGAATGCTTTTTAAATAGTTTTATATGCAGCTAGCATATGGTAGCAGGCTTCACACACTCTCTTTTGGTTTCGGCATCGCTTCTCTCCCAACCAAAATAAGTTGACATGTTCTCCAATTTTGGAGGCCCCAAAAAAATTAAAACGGTAATACACGTGCGGGTTTTTTTTGTGTCAATCCACTGTTGGATGAAGGCCTACCCATGCCGTGTTCGTCATGGGGGATATTTAGAGTAATTCGCCACGCTGGCTGGTGAGCACGGGGTTGGTACAGCGAGCGGCGAGAGCGGGGACCAATTCAGAAACCACCTGCCAACTAAATGTTGTCCACGGCTAGGATGTGAACGCTGGTTGCCGAGTCTACAGCGTAACATCGTAACGCCGTAACCCTGTACCATCACTCCACCCCGAAGTGTATTGATTCGTATAAAATGATTGATTTTTAAATGCTTTTTTTTCTTCAGCTTACTATTCGCTTTAAAATTATTAATAATTCACCGTCTTCTGTTTTTCATTTCAAATCGGTATATAAAAGAAAAGCATTTGTATGGTTTTTGGAAGCTCGTGAAGTTGAAACTTTGCCACTTTGCCTGTTTTCTGCAGATAGTCTTTATTGCTGTGTTTTTTTTCTGAGACCTATTGGCTAACTCTGCTGTGCAGAAGGAATGTTTATGTCTGTGTTGATTTGTATTCTGTGAGTTTAATGGGTTTTTTTTGTTCCTTTTGTTTCAGCCAAAACCCGACAGTGGTACAAGGATTCTATAGCCTCGGTGGAGCATTCTACATATCATCCCCTTCCATATTTACTTTTTGTTAATATATAAATTTGTACATCCACTACCCATCTGCAAGACTAGCACAATCTTGTATGGATTTCCATTTCGACTCTTAAAGACTTATTGTAAAATTTTCTACTCGCTGTCAAAGCCATACAGCAACAAATTTGTCCAAATTCGAAAATAACTGTGGTGTTAGTTGGCCTTCAAATTCGAGAGCGTTGCAATATACAGCATTTTTTTAAATCTTCAGTTGACAACAAAAAATATTAACTCCTTAAGTTATTTATTGTTTTGCACAAACCTTTGAGACTTCTTGAAGGGCTTTCCATTTCAAGACCTGCCCGTTCACCCTTGGTACGTATGTCATTTCGCTTGCGTTAAAACCATAGGATTGGATGTTTGCACTTGCATATGGCAGATATAAAGTGTTTCATAACCACCACATCAAGCCATAAAAGACCACCTCAATAGGGGGTTTTCAACAAATACTCCACTGTTTAACACGTAGGCTTTCGCGACGTCACCCTGCTGCTGTTCTATTTAAGACCGAGAGCAAGTGAGGGCTTTACCATTCTGGCGAATTGCCCGATGATGCTGGATGTAATTACCAGCGAAACGTCGTATTCAAACTGTAAATGTTGTGGATTCACTCTTCAACACACTGGTGGGCTAAAGTAGTGAACTAATTGTCTTTTGTCAACGTGACACTTTATTTTGCTGATTGGCCGTGTCGGGTGGTGGAAGGTTACGACACATTTATAAATAACGCGATCTAACCCAAAAACCTTTATTATGAAATACTCCACTGTAAAATGCGATTTTAAAATGGAATTGACCAATCGCCCCACACACCAATCCAGTACCCTTCAGAAAAAAGCATTGACTCGGACTTTCTTGAATAAATAGATCACCTAAGATTATAACTTACATTTTTACCACCTTTACACGGCCTCGCTATGCAAATAAACGGCAGAAATACGAGCGTCCGTGAACCAATAATTTGCAACTAGCTGCAATTGACGGATTTTGGGGGAGAAGATCGTTATTCTCATCGCACGGCACTCCGCGGTGGGATGAACGCCACAAAACCGCGACTCGTAGCAGTGCCTGGGGCTTAATGCGGGGAACTGCAGGGAAAATGGGGAGGTTAGATTTATTTTTAGTTGAGCAGTTTTTATAATTTCCCTGCGCATCTTGCCTAGATGCGGTGCGGAAATTCGTTTTGCATTTCTTAGACTTGGATATAAAATCTAAAGCATGTAAAAACAATCCTTTAACAGCGACCGACATATGGCAGATTTTGCACCATTTGATTTTTAGAAAAAAAAGTTACTTCGTAATCTGCAGAATTTATTGCAGATTTAGTTTGCTACTGGCGCTTTGCTTGAAATCTGCCACGTTTTTGTGGGTTAATGGAAACGCGTGGCTTATCCCATCAAATTCGCCGCACACTGCATTGGCGTGGACGTTTATTTGCAGATTATTTTGTCTAAATTCCGCAGTGAGCCGCTGATTTTTTTTTTTTACAGGATGCGTGATGCGGTCCCCACCGTATCAACGTGGATTATCAGATTCTGTTGTGTACCTCCTATCTAAAAACTAACCACCATTGTAACGGACTGTTATTTTAGCTTATTTTATGAAAGTGAATATTCTCATGGTTTTTAGTTTTGTCGATTTAAAATTCACTCACTTTCCTAGAATATTGTATATTGACACTAAATGGACTTTGTCTTGTTTTGTGTCTGGTTCAGGCTGTCGGTAGTGTGGTACAATTACACCGATGTTCTCATCATTATCTCATTGCATCCTCTTGAGTTTTGTGTTCTGTGAAGGGTATCAAATTACTCATGGCATTGTCTTTCAGACATTTGGATATCTGCTTATTAGCTAAGGTGAAAAAAGTTGTCTCCCGGTTTTAAATGAGCATGGGAACTGAATTTATTTCCTTTGGGGACTCTGAATCCGTCATGGAAATTCCACACTTCCATAGTTAGTATATACACAAAATGACCGTTGTTGACTTTCCATAAAGTGGTGCTCATTTTATCGACTCTAGAGAGATGATGAGGGTCGTGTGACAGTGCAGTCATTCGTGCATTGCTCTACGAACCTGCCAGCCAAAGTTCAATTCCCAACCTGTTGAGCAGCCACTGACCAGGATGGTGAAGTATGATCAGATAGCCCCTATGACCTAAATTCCTGGGGAGGGTGGACTTTATCCATCAGTGGATTGATAAAGAAATGTATGGAGCAATGATAGTTTGAGTTCAGCATTTTGATTACAATGCCACCTAGCCTTATATTCATAAGGGATTTCAAGTGGAATTCTTGGATGTTTGAGTTTTTTTTTCAAGACCTTGAAAAGTACTTGCTTTGCCAAACCTTGAACTTGGTAAAATACACAGGCAGCGCTCTCAGCATGCCCGTGAGTTGTTTGAACAGAATTCTTAAGAAACACCTCGCTGGCTTTTGAGATTTCATCAGCTTGCATCTTTTAAAACAGCAGTTGTGTCAATAAGCCACAAAGTGCTTTGCTGAGACCTACATTTATTCGAAATCTTGATTTGAAGCTTTCGTGACTGCAGGAATCGTACTCTTTGGTTCTTTCGGTAAAGTCACGTAGGTAGAAGTAAAATAAAATAAATCGCGACGTTCCGGGCACAGCACAAGCGTCCGTCATCGGGTGGAACGACCACAGCAAGGAACAATTGCTGAAGCGGGCAATTGTTTCTTGCTGTGGTTGTCCCACCTGATGACGGATGCTTGTGTTGCGCCCGAAACATTCGTGATTTATTCTTTCTACCTACGTTACTTTTACCGAAAGAATAAAGTGTTTATTTGAATTTTTTTTTAATGGATGAATAGGGAGGTAGCATAGTGGTTAGCACTTTGCCCCTTTTAAAACACGGCAACCCCGAGTGATTTCCGGCCACGGCTGAACGTCGCCAGCGAGTGAAATCTTGAACTCGTCCTGGGCCCTCCCCTAGGTTGAATTGGCCATAAATGAGCAGCTGGCGCAGTGTATAAATATCGGTGATGGGGAGATGAGTGGCTGAGGATGGTGTGGTGGCCACACCAACTCTGCCTTCAGTGCCACCAAAGTACGCGTTTAACCCTTTTTGTCCATGCACTGCTGCCGAATGAGGGCCCTCCGCACGCCGGGTGGGTCGTGGCGGTTATTTGACCGTACTTCACGCTGGTGGGTTACAGGTTCGTGAAAGGGGGGGGAAGCATCGGTGATGGAGGTGTGTAGAGTCGCAGTAAAAACAATGGCATTATACGCACTGCCCTCTGATCACGTCACGTAGCTCTGCATTCGCCAATAACAGACTCGGAGTATTTATTTATATTGGAGGAATCTGAGCTGTAAAGCTCTTTTTCACATGTGTCCAGTAGAGGTGGGTATTTGCCAACAGCGCTTGCCCCAAAAGTCTGTTCAGGCTATACGGCGGGGATGCTTGCGTGTAAATGGCGCTCGGGAACACAACTTCACCAAAACAGCCTTTTTGTAGGCTATTACAAGTGACCTGTCTTTCGACGTAAATTATGTTTAATTCACTTTGTCTCGTACAGATTTCCCCTTCAATCGACAATGATGGCAAACGGCCGCTTTGTGTTCGAGGACGACCACCTCTGGGCCTCCACGGCCGCCAAGCTGAACGCGCTACGCAAGAGCGGGCAGTTCTGTGACGTTCGGCTGCAGGTGGGCATCAAACACTTCGCAGCATGTCGGCTGGGTGAAGTGGCCAGGTCGCTCGGAGGTCCGAGAGAGCTGAGCCAGCCCTGCTGAGGTCCTGGGGTTCACCAATATCTGTACAAACAAAAGCTGTCAAATACCAAAAAAAATGTTTTACTTCAATCAACATTTTACAGCTGTGAGAATGAAACCATTGTTTTGACTGTCACGTAATGATGATTCCTCTTTATAAGGTAGAGTGGTGTGAATCTTATAGGGTGTATGGTGTTATGAATCTTCATTTGTGGAACTATTCATCTGTGGAATATACAGCAGCACATGTAAAATCTACACCTTTATGAATCTATTAAATAAACAGATGGACAACTTGCAAACACAACAGACGTTTTAAAATTGTTTTTTTAAAATGCACAATTTCACGCATGTGTCTTGAAAATTACAACACAATTTTATCAATGAAAAGATTATTCATTAAATTCTTAGTTATGGTCTGATTTTTTTCCTTGGTTTGTTTTTCAATGCAGAATATTTAATTATTAAATAAATTTTAAGACTGCGACAGCTACTTGCCATCCAAAGGGCACTCAACTGGGCACCACGGTGGCTAGGAGATGTTAACTCCCTCGCCTGGTATGCAGAAGGTCGTAGGTTCGATCTCGATCCTGACGCCTGCATATTTGGAGTTTGTGTGTTCTCCCCATGGTCGTGTGGATTTTTGTCCGGGTCCTCCGGTTTTGCCCTCCACATTTACAATCAAAATGCGTTTTAAAGTATTTGTCTGTGATAAATATCCATGTGGTGATATAGCAACTTCGTTGAGCTATCATTTGTGGCCAGGTCGCTTCTGAAAAATAACTCGAGCTCAGTGGGCCTTGCCTGGTAAAATAAAAAAAAATGTTTATAGTTTTTAATAAAATGAAAAAGTAGTTTAATGGTTCATAGTTTTAACTTGTTAAAGGCAACTTCTGCTTATGTTGTAACAGCTGCTGTTAAGAGTGTCCTGCACACTGAGGCTGTACATTCTGTGGGACTGTACCATGTGGATGTGGGGAAGACACAGATGGGTGGTGCATTCTGCCGAAGTCTCCAAAGCTACAATGCTTTTTGTTTAAACTTCTGCACTTTCTGTTAATCGTTTTCACCTTTATGGTTTTTACTCTGCCCATGACTAACCGCCTCTATAAAATGTGCCCACCAGTTCTGTACAGAGTCTTTGAGATGCCGTTGCATTTAGCTGTTGTATAAATCTACGTCTATTTTGTCATGGCCTCTGTGAATCTATGGGTCTCTGTGTAAGTCTACTGGACATTGGTGAAAACGAGCTTCATAGCTCTTCAGATTTCTCCAGTCTAAAATATTGTGATTTTATTAGTTTCTATGCATGTGGCCTTTATTAAAATATATTATAAGTCCAATCTCAATACTTTTTACCCTTTTCCTATGACTAATTACCGCTTTAAATTAACTATGCCGGAGGTACACGTACAACCTTTGAGATAGGGTCACATTTAAATTAAAATAACTCCACATTGTGTTAAATCTTGACTTAAAGCTTTCGTGACTGCAGGAACTCATATTCTTTGGGTCTTTCGGTAAAACCACGTATATATAAAAAAATAACAAATCTAAATCTAAGGGTTTGTATATCTCAGCATAATTCTGAGGGTGTCTATATACGAGTCAATTGTACGTATGATTACGCTTCAAGATTTTTTTTTCCTCTGCCTGCCTATAACTGACTGCTAAAGTAAATATCCCCACTGTTTCTGTACAGCGTCAGGAGATGCGGTCACATTTAGATGCTTAGTGAATCCACATTTTTGTTTGTTTTATTTTCCCACCCATGTGTTTTACCACCGTCTTGTCTTATGGCACGAAGACATTTCCATCGTTCTCTCGCATTAAGCAGTGCATCCACCCCCACGTTTGGGATCGGCCTGTGGAATGAGATTTCACAACTGCTCCTGAGAGGTGCCTTCCAAGTTGCCTCTTGATCCACATTAGGCGATGCATCTTCTCACGTACTGTTCAACGGAAATGTGTGTCCCATACAAATGAAACAAAAGGGGTTAATTTTCAAAGATGGAATACAACCAATTTAAGTGTCAAACCAAAGTTAATTAGATTCCCCCCTCCCCAGACATCCGTTACCAGGCTGAAACGATCAGCTCGCTACACTTGAGAGCCTGGGTTAATCAATGTTAGATGTAACCCAAATTCGGATCTCAATGTTCCTGGCCCCGAGTGCTGACACGGCAATTGGCCTGCCCAGCCACTTGTTCACCTCTTGTCCGTAAAGTTTTTATCAGCGTCCATGTCGCAAGCCTCTGACGTTTCTCACGCCACGCAAAGGGGCAGTCGGTGTCATGCTCCTCCTCCCCTAGTCTACAAAACGGGGGCCAGGTTATTTTCAACTCAAGGTTTTTTTTTTGCATCGTGTGGTACCACGTCCACAACCGCCCGATACTGAATGAGTTGACAAGCAGTGATAAGACTTTGTTTAAAATAAAAGTGTTTGTTTTCGTTGGTAATGTATTAAAATAAGCACAGCGCGCTGTACTTGCTGTGCTTGTCACCGTAACGGGAACATTTTGGTTTGAAAATCTTGCGTAAAATATGTATTGCGACAATTATGCCACAACTCCATATGCTGCTTAATCGTGAACTGAAGTGCAAGTGATAAGAATGTATAAACTAATATATCAAGTTCCTGTTACCAATTTTTTGCTGTTAATTACAGCCCTGCAATTTCCTGCATGCACCACTGCTGGTAGAAAAACTGACACTCGAGAGAGATCTCTAGAGTGTTTCTTGAGGGTATTTAGGCCACTCTTCCACGCTGGTCATACAGCTTGGAATAAGTGTTTAGTTACCCACATTTTACCCCACCACACAACCAAACCTTCCTATCGAATAGCTGCGGCATAACTTTATACTGCTGGGTCGACAGAGGTGTGGGGATTTCAGAATCCTGTACCTTTTGTTTCCAATGCCATGCCCCAGATATTGAATCGAACTGACAACCTCCTGGATTGTAATCCAGTGTGCTAACCATGGCAGAATCCCAGTGACGGGCAAACTTTGAATATAATTTGGTTTGAAAAGCAGGATTTTTAGCGCATCGGTCCCAATGTATTCACAAGTTCAGAGCCATCTGGAATAGATATAAAGGTGGTGTTGGCTTGTACCGTGAAGGTATGCACAATTTTTGCTGATTGATGTGTTTAAACCCTACTCCAAAACTAAAAGGTTTGAAAAGCAATTTATTTACCATTGTAAAAAATAATTAAATCGTGCTGATATCTTGGCTGCTTGCCTTTTATGCAGACAAGCATAAGGAATGCTTGAATTTGTTCCAGGAACAGTCACATTTACCAATGCCACACTGAACTATACTGTAATATAATAATTTATGGCCCCTTTGCCAAGCTACTTGTAGATTAATGGCCTTCCCCTGCACCATTTCAGTAAACAGGGTTTGCTTGACCATACTTCACCAAGCTGGTCAATGTAGGTTGGTGGTCCACGACGGGTTCCGATTTATCGCTAACCACTGGTGTTCATTGTGACTGGAAATCAAACTCGGGGCACGGAGTTTTAAGTACAAGCTAAAGGAGCAGCCCCGGAATAACTCGTGCTGCTGTGTGGCAGAAGGACCTCCACGAGAGAGATCTCAAGAGATTCCCCTCTCAGATGGTATTTGACCTATTGCGGTTTGGCGAAGGCGTCATGGAAGAAGTGGGAGTGTGCCCACACTTCACCCCAACACATGCAACTTGCCGATCAAACTCTGGCATTTTGACAAGTTTGTCAGTGCGTGGAACTGGTTCTTGACAAGATTTACTAAAAAAAATGTGGTGGTGGTAGTTGAGGATATCCGCATGATGCCTGGAAATATTTTTCTAGTTTTGACAAGCTTTACCGCAAACGCCTAACTTCTCATCTCTCTCACTGCTTCATTTACATGAGCTGGTGTGCCTGTGTGTGCACGCACAGCTTCTTTCAAATGTCAATTTTCAGTAACCTTAAGAACAGTCTAGCCAGCACCTGCTGTTAATGCAATTGGTTTGGGCAGACTAAAACTATGTTCTCACCAGCGTGCTTTTTTGTTATACTGCCGACTCCACTGACCTCTCTCTCTGTTCTCATCCAATTGTGATGGCTGACTAGCCAGAAAAGTCTTCGCCTATCATTCACGTTATATCACTTCTACTTCAGTCATATGGTGGCAAGGGTGCTGATCAGCAACGGTTATGTTCACGATCAGCAATTGTAACAATATCACTACTCAATAGGCTATAGACATTTAACAATCGACCCGCGTCTTCCAGCACTTGGATAACTTTACTTGATCCAGGGGTCATGATTTGACTCGGGAACTGCATAACTTTTGTCATGTATAGTGTTTGTCTAAATGGTTCTGTATTCTATCTCATTTGTACAATTAGCCTACAGGTAACAGAATAAATTACCACTATATGCAGGGCCTCCCCATGCTTTTGTCGATCATGCGGATTGCGTGACCGTATTTCACGAGGTAGACTGACTGGTGAGGTTGTGGCCCAGGACCGATGCAGAAATCCACTGATGTTCACCATGGCTGGGATTCGAACTCTGGTTATAGCTTGATGATGCAGTGCGTGAACCACTGTACCTCACTGCTCCATCCTCCTGAAACAATTAACTCTCACATTTTAAGATGGAATTTAACGATCCCATCCTTAAATTTTGTTGCAATAAAAACATCCTTATTTCATGGTTGAATCATTACATGTGGACTTTGGTTGCTTTTTGAATGGTAGTCGAATATATTTTTATGTTTTTTAAAGGTGGAATGGCCCATCATGTAAGTTCACTGCTCTGGCGCCCCACTGTCCCAGTTAAGTTGTACTTCCCCAATTCCACTGCTCTCAAAATAGGTGTAATCGGAGACTGGACATAACTCGCAAAACTGGATGCAGGCCGACCTCTGATATGTTCGTGTGAGTTCAGTCTTCAGTTGTTTCCATCCCAAAAATGAACGTAGCAAATTATCAACAGATTCTTTCCACATACCACACTGCCATGGTGCAATGGGGTCTGCACACTGAACTCTTTTGGCACGGCGCTTGAAACAGTAGGCAAGTTTCTTACACCCCTCTGTCCTGCCCAGCGGTACACGTGGATAGACGTCAGTCGATCTGGAGACGGCGTGTGGTTGGGTAAAATGTGGGTACCACCACCTCTTCCGAGACGTCGGTGTGGACGAGTAGACCAACATACTCTTTGGTTCTATTCGGTAAAGTCACGTAGGTAAAAATAAAATAACAAAAAATCACGACGTTTCGGCCACAACACAAGTGGCCTTCATCAGGTGAAGGGACTGGGCCGTCCAGAGGACAGCGTTGGAGTGAAGACAGCAAGCCCAGGTCGCGTCCTTTAAGCTTGTTGACGCGACCTGGGCTTGCTGTCTTCACTCCAACGCTGTCCTCTGGACGGTCCAGTCCCTTCACCTGATGAAGGCCACTTGTGTTGTGGCCGAAACGTCGTGATTTTTTTGTTATTTTATTTTTACCTATGTGACCTTTACCGAATAGAACCAAACAGTATGGATCCTTGCAGTCACGAAAGCTTCAAATCTAGAATAGACTAACATACCTCTCGAGAGGAGCTAATCTAGGTGCATCCTCGTAGTGGAGACCATTCCACCAGTAAGGGCACAAGCACGTTTCTTGCAGGGCTACACCACCTTCAAGTACACACATTTAAGAAGTGTTTGTTAAATTAACGTGGATGGAGGAAAAGGTTGGCCATCTTGTCGTTGCCACCCTTGCAAGGCTCTCGCACAAAATCCGAATGGTGATTTGGTTTTACTTAGTGTTCAGCGAGTTCAGTCGTGTGTGTGTGTACATGTTCAACTCCTTTATCAATTCACTGCTAGACGAGGGCCTCCCCTTGCTTCCGCGGGTCTCTGGTGGCTATTTGGCGGTAATTCTTCTCCGTGCTTGTCGGTGCTTGTTGAAGGCGAAGATAAACAAATTCTGCACTGCCCTCTGCTGTCCACAAAGCAGCCCCGCAGCCCTATAATGAGCTGTTGTGCGTGGCAGTCGCCCATTCCAAGCACGATACGGGCCCCATACTGCCTAGCTTCTAAGATTCGATAGGGTCACAGGCATTCCATGTGATTTCGTAACAAGCCGCGGTAGTGCATTGCACTGTAGCCGGGTCTTATACCGACAAATCGCTGCATGTATTTGCGTGCCAGAGATTCCATCTTATTCAATTAATTGACGCATTATGACTTGCCAATGACCGTAGTAATGTCTTTTTAAAATGGTTAAACATTGAGAAGCAAACCATCAGAGCTGTTTCGTGAAATCTGCCAGCTAGTTCTAAATACAGCCGTGCACGCAATTGGTGTTTTTTTTGTTCCCTTGTTTGGCGACATGTAAACATGTTTGTTTTGTATTATGTAGACACACGCGTTGGCAAAAACACGAGCTCTCCTCTATGTGCTTTGTTGGATTTGAACAGTTTATCCCCAACAATCAAATTGTTTTTTTTTTTAAAGTCAGGTTTTCAATTTATTGTTTTGTCAAAGTGCTGTTGAAATTGTTGAAACTTGGTTGTGAAATTAATGGAATGAACGGTACTTGTAAGCATTCTTCCAAAAAGACGTCTCTTATTCATTACTAGGTTGAACATATAAAGGTCTGCTTTATTTAATCGCATAAATGCATGTGTTACACGGTTAATAAGAAATTATGATTGCATAAAAGTGGCACATTACAAATAGGGCAATGAAGGTTTGCATAATTAGTTTTTCGTGGCATATTAGGAGCCTTTTTAATTATAAGAAAGTTAGAACCCTTTGGGACAAGGTTTAGTTTTTACATATATAAGGGAGATTTGTGTTTTCAATAATTATGCCAATCAACAAAAATCCCTCTACAAACCATAACACTTGGATGTTGATGCTTTTCAATGTTTTATTGGGAACTCTGCAAATAATTAATGGCGTGTGTGATGCATGTGCATGTTGGCTGGTACACATACATACACACACTGAACGGTAGAGTAGTAGTTGGCGCACTGCACGAGCTCGATTCCCACTCGTAGCCAACATCAATCACGAATATCTAAACCAATCCTGGCCCTCTCTTAGGTCAACTCGGCCTTAAATGTGCACCTGGTGCGGTTATCTAAACATCGGTACTGGCGAGACAAAGGCGGCCAGGCATGGTGGTGTTCACGCCACCACCTCGTGTGCCGTCTTCACCTTCATGGGAGCTCTCTAACAGCACTTGGCCTAAACAGCCTGTTAAGATTATAGGGTGACCAATCGTGTCTGTTAACAGGTGTGCGGGCATGAGATCTACGCTCACCGCGCTGTGCTGGCCTGCTCAAGCCCTTACCTGTTCGAAGCCTTCAACAGCGAAGTGTTGGACAACACCGGCTGCTCCATGATCCGCTTTGAGGATCTCAACCCCGAGGCCATGGAGGTTCTGCTCAACTACGCCTACACCGCACGGTACGCTTGCCCAGGCGGCAACCTAACCTGGCACACACGCTTGTCCTGAGTTGTCGCTCGTGGGAACCATCGAAAAGGTGGAACGATACGCCAGGCCGGGCCTTGGTTTTGTGATTTGCATCCGCTGCCTTGAAATTATTTATTAAGAAGCCACTGGAGCTATGCACTTTTAAATCTAGATTGAAAACACCCATTTCTTTAAACTGCTTTTTTGTGTGTTCGTTTGACCTTCGGCCCGCACCTCCGATTAGTGAAGTCGGCCACGTACGGCTTGAAGTTCAACATGCATACCATGAAAATGCAGCCCAAAAATTACGTAGCCATTGTAGAATCAACAAAAAATGTTTTAAACACAGCTGCTTTACGCAGAGCCAAAGGCCCAAAACGCCGTGCGGACAGCAACAAACAGCACCATCAAAGTCCTAATAGATAAAGAGTTAACACACTTCTTGAATTTACCAAGGTTATTGCAAGAAGCCTAGGAAAAGAGACTATATGGGAAGACGCAGAGCTCTATTTTTGAGGTGTTGTGACCTGCAGTGTGTGTGGTGGAACATGGTATCAATGAGCCGCGTACTCCCGGTAATGTGCAGTAAAACCCCTCTTAACGACGGTAATTGGTTCCACGAAACTGGTCGTTAAGTGATTTTGGTCGTTAACCGAGCATCAGAAATGCACGTTGAAGGCTTAATTCGTTCCGATAGCATCGAAAGTTATCCTTTTTCACCCAAATGAACGTACTTGCTAATATTTAAACAATGGATATTAATTCATAAAGATGCTAACAACATTGTAAACATGTTAAAAGAAACATGGTTAATCAATGGTATTAATTATAGTCGCACCGGTGTGTTGGAGAGCCAAGCCACAACATTTACAATTGTAGAGGTGTCACGGAAGGGGTGACACGCGGTTGCAGGGCGGTGGCCACAAACACGTCCGCTACGGCCACCACCCTGGGGGGCTGTGGGGGGGACGCTGTGATCCCTCCCAGCCCCGCCCCTCGGTGAGAGACAGTATAAAAGGTGGGACCCCGAGAGCTGAGAGGCAGTTCGACTCGAGCAAGATGAAGAGCCAGTGAAGAAAGAAGATCGACTAGCTAGACCCTGGAACTCCTTTGACCCGATGTCCTTTTGAGGGCCCGACTCGTGTGGCTGGTGATCGGGACCTGTGCCCGAAGCTGGGCCAGGTCAGATAGCCTCCTGAGAGAGGACCAGGATAGAGGGAACCAGGGAGCTAGCGTGGGCTAAAGCTCGGGGAACGTTCCCTCTGTAGAGTACGGGTGAAGAGGCCGTTACCTCTTCAAGTATCAGATTCGCCACTGTAATTGAAGTGTGTAATAAATACGTGTTGCCTCCAAAGGACAGTCTCCGACGTCAATAAGGCCACTACACAATCATAAGTGCGACGTTTCGCCAGTAATTATAACTAGCTTCATCAGGCGACGGCCAGATTTGGAAATGCATTGGGCTGTATGGAGGTCCGTCGTGAAGCAATTGGTCATTAACAGGGGTGGTCGTTAAGATGGTTTTTACTGTACAATACAACGTGGATTTTTATGGCGTCTAAACGCGGCTGCATCTTAAGACGCTGCACAAGAAAGAAATTTTATTTAAGAAAATAAACAAATGTCTCCGTCTATGGGCCTCTTTAAGGCTGAGTCTTTATATTTGTATATGGTACCTAGTTTATTGACCTTTTTTACGGATGATTAGCAACTTACAACCTTCAGATTCTAAACCATATGCTCCGTAGTTTTTTATTTAAAGTGTGACCCAGATGAATTATTTACATAGTCTTCACTCTAACTTGCAGAACCACGGTAGTTGTTTCTCCTCTGATGCCCTCACTCTGGATTATCTCTACTTTATGGCCACTTCGACAGCTTCCTAGAGCTTAATAGCTCACTGAATATTTGCCTGGTCACTGGTAGATTGGGGTAGGCACCTCCTGACTAGTAGCCACAGCCATAACCAAGAAGTATACCTCATCTGGTGTGCCAAGTACGGAAATATTTTCTGTATTACTGACCCGAACAGACTTTCGCTGAAATTAAGCCTTAAAATTCTGCTGCTCACTCCCCTTGTTCAACTCCAGCTTTCTCTCCACTCATTTAATGTGTAATTTCTGAATGCCATTCTTATCTATCGCAATATTTATTTTTCTCTTATCTCTGTCTACCATTTTTAACGCCCATAAGCTTATCTCTATCCATATTGCATTGCATTCCTCCAATGTCTCCATACTCCACCCTCTGGATTGCAGCTGTCCCCCCTATCTTATGCAGCATCTTGAAGTAGTGCTTAAGATATAGGCTCTTTATAAATACAAAATTATTTTTGTGCGTTTTCTGACACGCATAATTGTTACATTTTACTTGCACTTTGTGCTTATTTTACTATTCGAGAACTGGAGAATATCTTTAACCTGGCAAGACCATTTCTAATTTTAGCGTGCTCCGTGGCTTCGGTCGCGACAAAGCCCTCTTGCAGTTACATAATGTGTTTTGATGTACAGTAAACCTTTGTTAATTCGACACACACATAGGGCTCTGGCCTTGCCGAATTATCCATTACTAGCGTTTTGCCCATCCAAGGAAACTTGCAAGTGAAAACCAGACCACGACGTGATATTCATTGTATTGATGCGTGTGCAATTTGTGAGGGCGCGGTGACACAGACCTATTTCATTTGAAAGTTATAATCCCTTGTTCATCACGACGTCCTTTTTTAATTCGATGTCTTGCGTGACGTGAGGGTTCTGCCTTTGTAGTGAGGGTTGTAAGTTGATGCTGAGGAGGGGGGAGGAGGCGCCTCAGCCCCCCATGTGGAGTGACGTAGGCTGCTAATTATGAATTGGGGGGGGGGGGCGGGAGGGTGTCCATTTGGAGGACAACACCTTATAATGATTATTCATGAGGGGGGCTGGTCGATGTGGGGTGACATCACGAGCGTTAAGAACGTACATTCCTGGGTGATTATAATAAGTATTCCAAATTATCTACAATGGTTACTCCCCAATGCCTCCTGCCCCAATGTTTTGTTTTTATTGCAAATTTGTTTTCTAAACTCTTCACGCACCGTACGCGTTGACACACCTGCATCAATTCTATCCAAAACTTTGTATTTGTCTCGCAGAGCAAGGGATTTATACTTGGGTCCCTTTTCTATTACTTCTTGATGTAGGTGTAGATGACATTTCTGAGGAGGATTGGCTTGCACAGAGTGCACAAGGAGGGTAAAAGTCCAAAGCAACAGTTCCGCACTAACGCTCACCACCGCGCGCTCCGCCACCAGACCGAGTAATTGTTTTGGTCGTGCCGCTCGGCGTCGCTCCATGCGCATGCTGAAATTTGACCATTTGGCTCGTGGCGAGTTACTAATATGAAGCGCAGCCGTGCCGAATTATCCCCAATTACGAATACCGAAATAACGAGGTTTTACTGTATTTCCCTCCAATGGCATTTGAAGTCTTATTCAGCTCTCCCATGAGGAAATGGTTCCTCACCCATTACTTAGGACATTGACATCCAATGCTGTGGGTGGAGCGTGTAATGTGGGTGGACGGTTCTGTATTTTAGTCCAGTTTTTTTTTTTTGACATTACGGTGCCCTGGTGCTGACGACGTGTGCTGCGTTTCAGGCTGGAAGCCTCTATTGATCTGGTGAAGGATGTGTACTCTGCTGCCAAGAAGCTGAAGATGGACCGTGTGAGACAGGTACCACACTGCACGAGTGTTTGTTTTTTCTTTCCCTCCGTAATTCAAGATGTAAACCGTGGCCAGAGCCGTTGATGCCACCACACCTCGCCAACAGCGCCTCCTACCTTCTTGCCAGATTACTGCTGCACAGCCGACCAAGATCTGCCCTTAATCTCATGGAGACAACTCCCAATGCCCCTCTCAGTAACTGCCCTCTGAGATGATGGGCATTGGAGTGGGCTCCGCTATTCCGGCGACCCAAGGGGGAACACAATTGCTTCGTTTTTTATTTTTTTTCCTTCTCTTCTGTACCCCGACATTCACACGGCTCCCGGAGGTGGCGGAGAAAAGTGAAAGACGTCTAAAACTAAACAAAACTTAAGTTTTATTTTACCAGGTAAGGCCCACTCGGCTATATAGCTCTTTTTCAGAAGCGACCTGGCCACAAATGATAGTAGGTTATGTGGATATTTATAGCAGCCAAATACTCTATAAACGCGTGCTTCTAAATGTGGAAAGAATAACCAGAGGACCTGGAAAAAAATCCATGCAAACTCCAAATATACAACAGGCATCGGGTTTGGAATCGAACCCATGACCTCCTGCATACCAGGCGAGGGAGTTAACATCTCACCACCGCGGTAGGTTTTGTGTGTGTAGCCAGGTGTTCTGTTCATGCCACCGCTTGCAGAAAGACCTCCACTAGAAGGACTTGGAGATCGCCTCTAGGAAGATATTTTGACATCTTACTCCGGTGGCCCAGACGTCTTGGTTGGCCTAGAGCAGTGTTCTTCATCGCAAGGCCCACGGGCCACTGGTGGGCCCCTGGTGGCCTTGCGTGCGGCCCCTGACAATGCACATGTGAAAACACCCCCCCCCCCCCCCCCCCCCCATCATCGTGCTGTCAAAACCCCCAATAGTTCAAAATGTGTTGGGTCCTCGCGCTGACGATGTTTTATCGGCGAAAGTCTCCCCCCCCACCACCTCTGAAAATTAGTGAAGAACACTGGCGTAGAGGTTTCCTTGTATCGGTACGAATAGGCGAGGTTAGCCTGCGCTGCGAAAAAATCCTCTCATCGTTATGCTGGTTGGACTTCTCCGGGAGCAGGTGTGTGGAGACTACCTTCTATCTCGCGTGGACGGAACCAACTGCATCTCGTACCGAAACTTCGCCGGCCACATGGACGACTCGCGCCTGCTCGCCCAGGTGGACGCCTTCATCCAAAGCCACCTGGTGGAGATTTCCGAGGGGGAAGAGTTCCTCAAGCTGCCTCGCCTGCAGGTAAGAACCGTGAGCTTTTTCAGACCCTTTGAGACCTCTAGAGGTTATTCGGGCTACTCTTCCACCATACCATAGCCAGATGTCTTGTATGTATGTACTTTGAACTTCTTTCACTCCGTACGTCGCCCACCGTGCTAATCGGAGGTGCAGAGAAAGGACTGCAAACACAAAAAGCAGTTCTCAAGAAATGAGTTTTCAAATGAGTCTTGGAAGATTTAAGGACAATATAACAATCTTGACCCCTGAATCGTGACAATTCATTGAGCGGTCAAGATGACGGCGACGAAGATGCCACGTTCGACAGTGAAGCCCTATAAACTATGACAACGGTGATGAACGTTGCAAGTGAACCGTTCGTTTTCTGTCGACGTCAGGTGGAAGTGGTGCTGGAAGAAAACGTCTGGCTGCCCAGTAACGGCAAACTCTGCACCAAGGTGATAGACTGGGTGCAGCGCTGCATCTGGGAGAAGGGCGAGCGTCTGGAAGACCTCCTGCAGAAGGTTTGTGGGGTGCCTCGCCGCCCATGTTGGTGGAAGGTCGGGGTGGGGGGGGGGGGGCCTTACGGGGAAACGATCATAACCGTGTCTAGCGCCAGGGCGCGTAGCGTTTGTCATTCATCGCTGCCTCGCCCTCACTTTTCCCTCCAACCTCTCTCCTTTCTCGCCGCTTATGCGCCCACCCCTGCGCAACCGTGACCGACCAGGAGATTTTTGCAGCACCGTTCTAGGCGGATGTCTTGCCAGTTTATTTTTTTGTTACGCTTGCTGTTCGTAAAAATCCGTGGGTAGAGAAAATGCGCTGCCACTTTTGTGATTGCATCGGCCGACTGTAAATAATCAGCCTGGTACGTGTAGAGTTGTGTGGCGGCACTTTGCCGTTTGTAGCTATTTGGCTACACAGCAGGGCAATTTTCCGCTGGTGCTGACGTTCGAAAGTATTTCGTCTTTTAATGTGCTGGCGAGAGCTACATTTTCAAATTGACCGGGGTTCGGTTCCAACAATGACTTGGAATATTTAAAATTGTGCACGATGGTCGAGTTTCAAGGCGTTTTTTTTTTTTCACCCGTTCAGATGGTAGTGTGCATCGAGACACATTGGTGCAAAAGGCGCTAAGGGAATTCGACCTATAGATTGAGAATCCTTAATTTTATTGCACATCAACTTTGGAATCTGAAGGAAAATGCAGCCTAAAAAACGAATGTTTTATTTTGTTGTAGATAGATACCAAAGCTTTGAATCCTGACCTCGCCAAAACAAGTGTGACGCTTCGTTAATGATTTTTATTTTAAAGTCTATCGTTGTGGTCAAAAACCCATCGTGGCATCGTTTGCACTATCAACTCCAGAACGTCTTCTTACCTCCAAAGCGGTGTCAATATAACGCCGTGGCATATTTGCTGGGCCTAATTTCAAAAGTGTGTATCTCTCATCAACGAGCTTTAAACTTGTGCATCCCATCCTAGGATTAAGTATTTATAGGATAAGAACTCTTTGTTTTTCTTTTTTGGGTTGCATCTTTCTCCACCCTCTATCGTGGCTTGCTGTCGTTGCATTGTAGGCGTCGATGAGACGGTCACCAATCGTGAACCAGCGCGTTAGTTGAGTATTAAGTAACACGACGAGAGACTGCTGCAAAAGTATCCCGGTTGGTTTCTCTTAATGGCACCCGCTGTGCTTGAACACAACAGCAATGACGAATCTGGTTGTCAGGGCCGCTGTGTACGCAGCTGGTGGTGTGTGCGCGCGTGAGTGCAACCGTCTCTGTATTGTTGCCGTACGACCTACTGCATGAGCTCGCCGAACAGCGAGAGGAGAGCGTTTTTATAAAAAAAGGGCAGCGTCGTTGTCATGGATCGCGGTGAATCCTTGGCGGTCGGGAATCCCCAAACGCTTAGGCAGCGGCACGTGAACAACAGTCTGCGTGAGACGTGGGTCCAGCCTCGTGCTAGTCGCAGACGGACATGCTCGTGTTGAATTTTTGCTGGGGTAGTGTTTTGATGGTGAAGGGCAACTTTGAGTAAGATCGGCTGCATTTTCAATTGCTTCGTATTGCTGTGGTTTCAGCCTTTTGGGACACCTGACCAAAGGGGCACAAAGTCATCGATCATGTCACGCGAGCTGCCTATGGTTATTGATCGCTGCCCGCAAACTGCGTACGTGGTTGCCTCCGAACAGTTTACAGAATGTTTGAGACTTAGTTGAGAAGGGGACGTGCGTTTTTTTTTTTACGTGAACAAAACAACGTTTTCATGATGTTTGGAACAGTCTGTTTTAAAAAATATGACGATGCCTGTTTGATAGACTGGTATTCCTGTGATGTTGTTACGTGTGTAAGCTGGATTGTCGGTGTTTTGTTTATTTTGTTTTTAATTTATTTAAATTCACCGTTTTATTTTCGAATCCTGAAAAAAAACCATAGGGGGTTAAACTCAAAGGAAAGTATTTTATTTATATTTGTTCCCCCCCCCCAACCCAGGATGCTCAGGTGAGGTTGTCCAATCTTGTCGAAGCTGGGCCAAGCTTTCCCCGAGTGAATTTTAGTCTTTTGTTTTAAGACATACAGAAACATGCAGTGTTACCACGGCAGAAGAGGCCCCAACTACGTCTTTACGTCTTAACGTAACCCGAACCCTTAATATATATATTTTTTTGTTTGTTATTGCATTGCCTTCCTCTACCTTGGGTTGTGCTTTTTGCAGACTCCTCTTCCCCAGCCTCCGGTGCTGTGGGTTCTGCTTGGCTCCAAGTCAAAATATTGACGTGGTAAACGTGGAATTGCAAGCATGTGGTTTGCCGTAGTTTATAATGCACCAAAAATAAGGGCATATTAATGGGGGGGGAGGGGGGTGGGTGTTCCGGTGGGGTACCGTTTTGGCTTATAGGTAGGGCTTTGTTGTGTTTGCGTACGTGAGCTTGCTTTGATTTTAATTTCGTATGTTTTCTGTGGTTTTATTTTTTCCCTTGCTTTGTCGAGACCTAACATTATTGAGTGGGGGCAGCGTTTGTATTGTCTCTCCTTTTTTTCTTTAGGGTTTTTTGGGGGGTGGGGGAAAAAAGAAAAACCCGCAGCGGTGGCAGCCATTTAGATCCTAATTTTTCGTTTTTTTTTCTCACTTAATTTCCTTCCCAGGTGTAAGCCACCGAAAGGTAAGCAACGTCCCAGGTGTGCGGTTGCCGTGGAGATGAAGTGTTGGCACGCCGGTGGAACAAGTTAACACGGACACTCCAGCCTGCAAGATTCCATTTGGACCGTTTCCAAAGCCGAGCGAGCGGCTCGTAGATAGTATTCGCCCGTTTTTTTTTATTATTTTCCAGTTCTTCTTTACGACAACAACAACAAAAAACAGCAACAGATAACTATTTTGGCCACATCTATTTGGACACCTAATTTTTTTTTCCCCTCTGGCCACACCCCCCTACCCCCCCCCCCACCTCTTGGCCTGCATTATTAAATGGAATTCGTCTACCGAGATGTCAAGATTCACGCTTAGTCACCCTTGCACCGACAGCTCTCCTGCTATTACAGCGTGATGGGACACCCTGGTATTATACGCTGGGCGCAGCTTTGCATACCCGAACACGATACCTTTTTGCGAGCGGGTGTTAAGTCATCCCACTGTCCACTTTTGGAGGATTCAAGAACCCCCCCCCCCCCACGTCAGTAAAAAAAAAATTTGCAAAAGGACTTCGAAGTTTGCTGCGACGGATAATTAGCGCAGCAACAGACTTCTTTTGCTAATGTCTAAATGCCATCGTACTGAGAGCGGACACAAAATTATTGCCGCGTATCATCCGCACGTTAAAAGTGACCCGATTTTTATATTTACTGAAAGACACAACTCTACACGGATTATGTCGTCTGCAGAAATTGGCCGAAAAATTTCCACGTTTTTCATTTTATCTAAAATATTTTACCTGGACAATCCCTCGATGAAGCATCATGTTGGCAAGGGTGTCCAGGTTGACACGATACACGTAACGTATAGACTTTTTTTAAAAAAATTCTTCGTACACCGTACGTGTTTTTATACAAAGTAACATTTTTGTCAAAACAATTATTTCACACCTTTTTCACAAAAGAAACACCGCACCTGCAACAACCACACAGAATTCACCATTGTCACTCCAACCAGAGCACCCTCCCTATTGGCTGGGAACGTGCGTTTGATGGGAAAAGCTCATCGCACAGAACACTAGCATTGCTCATCTGCCAATGAAATGCACCTACTGCCCGTGACTAATTTCCTCTTGCGTACATGGGTCAGAAGTTAAAGATTTCCCCTGAGATTAGCACTAGCGTTAGAAGCAATTGTAGCAGGGATTGGGAATCTACGGTCCGGGAATTCATTTCATATGGGTCGATGGTCGCGTTAATTGGGCCGTACCACATGAAAACAATATTTATCCGTCACTGCAAGTAATCTTAGCCGCAGTAATCCTGTATTAGAGGGGAATATTTTCAATCTGGCAATTGTTTTTTTTTCTTATTTTAGCGTTTGCAGTCGCTTCTTTCACCGCAAGAGCATCCTTTATAATTGGTCGGCAAGCAAATTATTAGGTAATGCTATGGGGTGTGTCTGTGTTTTTAATGTACGGCCCACTGCCAAGGGACTTGACAGTTCCCATTTGGCCCTCCAGGAAAAGTTTATTCCAACCTTGGTGGCCAGTGTTGTGGCAAATATAGGTGGATCTCCGTGATGGCATGGGCCCTTGGGTTTCAAACGGGGATGTTGGGTGCTTTTGAGTAGGCGGAAGCCCTTTCATGAGTAAACAGGACGTTTTAGGGCATTTTATATTTTTGTACTCTTTTTTTTCCCCAAACACTTGAGGGATTCCGGATAATGGTTGTTTACTATCATCAGTGAATTCGAAGGTGGGGGTTATCCAAAGATTACATCTCCTTTTGGTTGACTGCAAATTCGGAGCCCAAGCAAAGTTTTGAGTTTAATTTGATGTTGGGGTTTTTTTACTTAATTACATTTCTGAGCAAACCCCCCCCCCCCCTTGAGAGCATCCATGATCCTGCGTCAAGCACAGTTAACCGCAAAACCAGCCCCGTAATTTATTCACAAAGATATAAAATCCGGCTGGTTAACTAATGGTATGTAAGCATGATTTAATTTGGCAGCAACGATTTTCAAATCGCTAGCTCAAATTTCACAAGGAGGGATTTGGTTTCTGCCCAATTTTGCGAGTACTGATGTACAATGCACATCACATTGCAGCCATCGTTGATTATACAGTGTTAGCACATTTTGGTGTTGGTTCGCACCATTATATAGATTATATTCTCAGACTTTTACATCATCTCGAATGAGAAACTGGTTCTCAAGCTCCTGGAATATTTTTTTTTGGGTCATCAATGAAAACAGGAAAATACCAGCCCTCTACCTTTTTTTTGGCATCGTTAAGTTTCAAAATGTGAATGATATTTTACTTTCACCAATTTATAAAAGGTTAAGATCGATAACCCGATTAACCTTCCTTTTCCAACTTGTGGCAGCAATGAGGCGCTGTGTTCGGACGCTGCCGTCTTATTTGACTTAAATTATTTTCCTACTAATCATCCCTTAAGTTGAAGCAAGCTCCTGGCAGAAGACGAAGAAATGCGGTTGTTAGGATTTAAAGTACAAATTAAGTGAGCAGGTTGCCCTGCCGGGTTATTTTATCATTTGTTTCGCTAACTTGCCTCCCCCCCTCCCCCCAAATGCAGCTGTTTGCCGAGGTAAGTCGCAAGTCATTTCGCCGGACCAGATTCACGCTGTTAATCATGAGAAACCCCCGATCTTTGCCCGCTCACCCCAGTGTGTGTGCGCGCACGCGTGTCCGTCCGTCCGTGTGTGCGATCTGTGACGTTTGCAAGTTGAGTGAGCGAGCGTGCGATGGTTTTTGAAAACCTTGTCTTGCGCAGGAATTGAGAGCCCATTCCACGAACTTCCTCATCCTCCTCCCCTACCCGCCCCGGGCCTAACCCCTAGACCCTGTTCCTTCCCACAAGCCGCCCACCCTCGCCCTCCTCCCTTGTCCTGCTAATCTTGCCCCCTTTTTTTGCTTTCCAGGTTCACTGCTGTGCTTTTGGAGGGCATAGATAGCGTTTGTGCGTGTGACTTTCGACCGTTAAAGCTTTTTAAGCGAAAAGTGTTCGCAGTACAAGCTCAAGCCGGTTAAAAACCTTGTCACCCATAGTCGTTGCCAACTGCATTGTAATGGGTATGTACATAGTAGGGTAACATTATGGGACGTGGCCTTGTTTGCATCTTTAAAGATCGCTGGTCAAATCCCTAAATGTTAGCAGGCTATATACGTGTGTTTATTGCAAGGCAGCGTTAATGGCAATGATGGTCGGGTTATTTTGCTGGTTTGTGTTTGACAGCCGACTTATGAACTACTCGCGCTAAGAATTGATTACAGTTCGGTTGCGCAACAATAGGAGAAATCTAAACATTGCCCTGTGAAATAATGAAAAATAAAGTCGCTAAAATGTTAAATGAAGCAATCCGATATAAAATGCATGATATTAATTAAGCTTGAGCTAAAATAAATAAACATGCATGGGACAAATTTCTAATGTGACACTTTTTTTAATTGGCTTAAAAGGAAAACTAATTAATAAAAAAACAGATCTTGTAGAAAACTAGGTTTGTACCCTGGGGTGTCTGACACAAGTCTGAAGCTTTGTTAATGAGGAACTAACTTGACAACATGAGTGACATCATAGTGATATCAATAGATGGGGTTGGGGTTGTTCAAAATAATGTATAAAGATGATCCCCATATGAGCACACGTGTAGTATAACATTGTACTACCGGCCAGTTTTATGAAAGGTTTGTCCAAAACGTGGCGATTTTTAAAATGCAAGCGCATAAAGGATTTGTCTTGCCGGTTAAAGTGGCAATGTCATTGTGTGACATCGCGGGGTGACAATGTTATTATCGCACATTAATTACTTCCGAGGATGTAAAGCATTATGGAATCTATGCAAGTGCACCGCTTTTCTTGATTATTAACAAGCAAAGTTTCGGCTAGGGCAGAGGAAGTCTTAGGGCACTTAGACGTTTTGTTTCCGTCAATGACGAAGCATGGAACTTGTGTCGGACAACTCGTGACACGCAGCCTGGGTACGCATCAACACGGCAACGTCTATTCGTTTCTGGCTTTGTTGCCATCCTTTCAAACCAATATTATTCTTAATCACTACACAGAAAACTAACACACTTAAGACGTGCCTGCTAACCGCAACTCAACAGATGACGTTGAGTGGCGGTTTTGCTACCGTCAGGCGTACATTGCTCTGGGAGGTACTACACAGAGTGTCGCCCCTGTCTCTCCCCCCCCCCACCTCCTCTGCCTTCTCTCTCTCTTTGCCCTTGCTATCTCTTTCCTCCCCCCCCCCCCCATTTGTCCTGTGTTTGTTGAACACGATCAGGTTCAAAAGCTGTACTTTTCGGCTGAACACAAACTGCTTGAAAGGAGCCACCCTGAGTCTCCTCAAGACAGTTCCAGTGAGGGCGAAGATGCCACTAATAACACGAAGGTAACGGTTGTATCCGTGTTTACCCAAATGATCGTATGCTGTAACCGAACTGATGCAGCACTGAAAATCTGTAATGTAGCTGGGACGATCAGCAGTCATTGCTCCCTTGGTTAATTCTGTTGGTATATTTTCCCTTTGCCCTGCCAAGACATCTGCAAGTTGCAGGGTGGGTCCTGTTCACCGCTGAATCTCGGAATGCGCAAGGGGTTCGCATTAATTTATTTAGAGAGGCATTGAGCCGCTGTTTTTAAAGACATTGTACTCACCTCAGATAACTGTAGCGGCACGACCGCACTATAATAGCTGGCACCAAACTGTGCCACATGCCGTTTGGCGGAGCCAGGATTTTCAGGTAGGGGGGGGGGCAATCGCTCCAGCAATGAAAAATGATAGGAGTTGTTAGTAAGGTCTTGTCCCTTGCTTTTTATTCGACGAGTGTGCGGTGATGGTGCAGCCATCGATCGAGGGTCGAATTTGAACCGTGTGTGATCGGCATCGCACTCGCTGAAGGTGTTTGCCTTTAGGGACGTCGTGTACTGTATACACAACTGCGCACAATTTTGAGTCGCTTATAACTGCTTTGCCATTACTTGTTGCCAATTATGGACTCGGACTATTGTCCTATCATCTCATAGAGTCCCTGGCACGTGATAATATGGTACACAGTACCAGTGGGGGTCGCGGAGATGCCAATTTATTACTAATAAACTCCAATGATCTGATCGAAATAGGGATTTCGATCGGATCATTGCGGGGGCACGTGCCACCCCCTCCCCCCCCACTGGCTCCACCAGTGCCACACGCCCTTCCGTAAGAAAAACTGGTTGCATACACGTACGTCATCGGAATGGTAAAGGTTTAACATACTTTCCGGATCCCGTGACCTGATTTGAAAACGTGTGTAGGCCTTGTGTGCCATCGCCGCGATCCAAGTTTGCCAAATTTGTAAAAAAAAATAAAAAAAACCCTCCCACAGAAACATCTCCTATGGCCTATGGCAAAAGCCTTGGCAGGACTCTCCTGATAAAGCCTTGGGGGGGGACTCCACATGTAAAAGGTAAAAAGAATTAAAAGGCGGTGAGACTTGACAGCCGCCGTTTGTTGTGTGCGTGTCCCACGCAGAAAAACCTTCACCGGGACGGCAAGCGCAAGAAGAGCGGCGTTGCCACCACGAACGGCACCACGCACCTGAACACCGGCGACATGAAGTCTCCTTGCAAGTCCCTCACCACCGCCGCTCGCAACCTCTTGCAGCAGCAGCAGCAGAGTCAGAACGGCGGCGGCTGCAGCAATGGCGGCAGCAACAACATCTTCAGCAAGCACGAGTGGAAGATCATTGCCTCTGAAAAGAGCTCCGGTGATTATTATTGTTGTTATCATAATTCTGCTATAGTAATGAATGTCAGTTTAACACGTAGACTTTCGACACCAGTATTATTCATAATCGAGGGTTTGTTTGGGTTCGATCGCGTAAGACCGAAACAACAGGAGGATTCTCCGCATATCTGGCTGTTGCCTGATGATGCTACTTGTTGACATTATCGGCAAAGCATCACGGTCCTCGAATTTGTAAATGCTGTAGTGGGTTTACTCTCCAACACAACCGGTGTGCTGAACCAGGAACAAATTGGCACGTTTTGTTCACGTGACAAACCTTACGAATTGGCCGTGTCGGGTGGCGGTGGATTTAACACGTTTATATTTACACAATCTAACCCCCCCCAAAAAAAACCTACATTCTGAATAAATGTGATTGTAAGCTAGACCTGACAGCAAATTATTACGGAATGCGCCCAATCACATCTGAACCACATAGGCTAAGCTGGGTTAAGCCTGAGGTGGTGCTTAGATTGGCTACCAGCATGCAACAGCGGCTGTAGGGGAGGGGGGAAGGCTACGTTATTGGCCAGCGGAGAGCAGTCGAGCAATATCTTGCTCCCGCTTGTGCTATTGTACTCTCCCCAGCTTCGCCAACCCACAATGGGCAATCACGGTGACTCATCCAGCAGTGGAATGACAGTGCCGTACGCGTGTATGCGTCCGTGTACAAACGGGCGCGTCGTTTAAATTGACTTTCATTACACGTTGGCCTATTGTGAAAGCTATGTATAATTTGACGCTGACCTTGCCTCGTTAAATAATAATGATGGTGCGTTGGTGCTCCGGTTACGACACGTTGTGGGCCGTCTAGCGAACCGCGGTTGCCAGGGTTGTCCTTGAAAACAAAAACGTGACGCGTGGCCGAGTGTTGGGGGATTGATTTTTGCTTCGCCTTGGCCGCATTAGCCACGTCGGGGTTAACGCTTGTGAATTTCGGTCCTAAAATCGGGAATTTTAATATTCAGTTCGGTGTTGACTTGGCCCATGATCCATTTTAAATTATCAGCCATAATAAATATACTGCTTAAGCTGTCGCCATCCCTTCACCACTATCAACCCCAGCACCTTTTAAAAACTACGATGAACTACTATTATTATTTTACCGGGGTAAGGTCCACTGAGCTATATAGTGTCTTTTTCAGAAGCGACCTGGCCACAAAATGATTGCTCAACGAAGTGGCTTATCACGTGGATAAAGCGAGGGTAAAGTTAACGTCTCGCCACCTGAAAACGAGCCGATCAACGCTCCCATTGCCACGATGAACCTCCTCTTGGGCACGTTTCCCCTTTGGCTGCCCCTCGCTGTTCCTGCTCGCCGACCATCGTCACTTCTATTCGCGTGTTCACCCCAAGCCCCCTTCGCTTTTCTAAATGATAATCTCTTAACCTGCATACGTTCGCTCATCCGTGTGTTCCTCCGTTTGTCTTGGTGTAATCGCAAGCGTGCAACTCTCCACGCTGCCTTTGCACATTTCCGACTTCTCTCTCATTCCATCTTCCATTAGGGTTAATTAAAATTAATAGTTACTACTATTTGGGAAGTCAGTGGTTCTCCTATGGAGAGATATAGGCCCCTACCCTGGTAATGTGGAATTTCCATCACTTTGTTTAGGGCTGCCATTGGGGATGAGCTTCACATTGCTCACGTGAGCAAGAAAACATCATGACGTGAAGCTGTGCATATTTTTAGTTGTTCAGCCTTGTGTGCGTTTGTTGATTGTGAGTCTGCAAATTGTAGGGGTTGTCTGTTGATGTGTTTTTCGGGAGCAGCAGCAAAGTGGTTACCACACACTACACTTATGAACCCTGTGTCCTTCAATCAATGGGTGAAGTGACATGACAACCATTCGCGGGCCTCCCCTAGGTTGACTAAGCCTCAAATGAGTATCTGATGAGGTGTGTGAACATCAGCACACGGGAGACAATAACCCCCACTCCGTATGCCGTGGGGGTTATTTGACCATACTTCTCCACTTTAGTCGGTAAAAATTAAAGGCAGCATAGCCATGAGAGCATAGTACAATACAGTAAGGTCTCGGAGTACACGGGCTTGGGTTACAGGGACCCACTCATGCATGACCGACCCCGATTCACACTTACTTGTGCAACTTGTACTTTCGCTACACGCACGGGGTGGGAAGTGCAGAGTCAAATCCCCCCCCCGCCATGACGCGAACTTGGATTTGACGGTGTGTATCTGCATCGCCCACGCAACAAACAAGTTTTTAAAAAAAGTATATTCTTGGTTCTTTCGGTAAAGTCACGTAGAAGGGAAACAATAAAATAAGAAAAATATAAAACAATACAATTCTCACGACGTTTCGACTGCAACACAAGCAATCTTCATCAGGTGTGAAAACCACAACAATTTTAAAATTATTTTATTGTTTCCCTTCTACGTGACTTTACCGAAAGAACCAATAAAATGAATCCCTGCAGTCACGAAAGCTTTAAACCAAAATTAAAAAAAAAGTGTTTAATATCGTGTTTCATATAGTGTTCTATCGGACTTGAATGCTACCGATGATTAGTGGATCCTTTTACTTTACTTTATGAAACATTTATGTACATTTAAATACTCTTACATTTTATATATACTACACGTATAGGCGGACACCCACAACTTGCGTGAATTCGTGCTTTACGCGGGGGGTACACGAAACCTAACCCCCCCCCCCCTGCCCGTCGTTCGCTCGAGACCTTGCTGTAGGGGTGGTGTCTGTGCAAACATAGATTTTGCTACACTGCCCTCTGCTGGCCACCCACGTAGCCCTCGGCAGGCGGTACATTTATACTCGTTTAGTGCATTGGCAGTCGCCTACATTTGCACAATCTTAGGCTCAACCATGATTTGCCGTCACAAATCTGACGAGATTTGGTAGCATTATGGGTACCGTGATGTCATCGGAACTTGTGCGCTTTTCATTATGAGCCGGGGTGGCCAAAGCTCCTGACCCTACGAGACGCGATCCGAAAATCTTCGTACGGCCGTGGGCCACAAGACGTGAGATGGGTTCGGCTAAGATGGTGGGGGGGGGGGGGTCTGCATTCTCCGTCTCCGGAGCTGCATACTGTGCAAAAAAGCTTTATAGCTCATCGGATTCCTCCAGTATAAGTACATATTCTGATTCTTTTAAGGACTGCAGTGGGCCCTCCCTTGCACGTCGTACAAAAATGACTCTTCTTGGTGTTTTTATTGCCGACCCCCCCCCCCCCCCCTGAGCTCAAATCGCCACCAACCAACCTTTCAGCTGACCGATCCTTTCCCCCCCCCCCCCCCCCCCCCCCCCCCCCCCGCTGCACACAGATATGCAGTACCTGTCGCTGGCGGTGCTGAGCGGCACGCTGTGCGCCATCTCGCTGCACGGACGCACCTCCAGCCCGCGCGTGTCCCCCGCCACCACCCCGGTGCTCTCCAAGAGCTCCAGCCTGGAGGCCGGCCTGGACCTGGAGGAGCCCGACGCGGCGTTGCTCTCCGGCATGCACTACGAGCGCTGCGGCCTGGGGGCCGCCTCGCTCAATGGCAGCCTCATCGCCGCTGGTAACGCTCACGATTTGTGAGCACGATTTGAGAGTCGGAATGTCCCATAATGAGGGTTCCATGGGTTGGAGCGCGAAAGTATAAATGTTTTATAACCCTCCACCCGCCTGACACAGCCGGTGAGGTGTGTCACGTAAACGAAACGTGACAATTAGTTTAACACCACAGGCTTTCGCGACCAATATCTATAATATAGATTTTTTTTTTATGGTTTAGATCACGTAAATATATAGATGTGTCCTGATTTAAAGCTTTCGTGACTGCAGTAATTCATATTCTTAGCTCTTTCGGTAAAGTCACGTTGAAGGGAAACAATAAAATAACAAAATATATATAAAACAATAAAAATTCTCACGACGTTTCGACCCTAACACACATATAAATGTGTCGTTAAACCCGCCACCACCCGACGGCCAATTAGTAAGGTTTGTCACTTAAACAGAGCATGCCAATTCGTTGCAAGTACAGCACACCGGGTTGTGTGTTGGAGAGCAAGTCCACCGCTCGCTAAACACGTTCCAGTTAACTAGTTACAGCCTGCCGGTGTGTTGGAGAGTAAATCCACAACATTTACAATCGTAATATCGTTTGTGACACATTGGTGACACTTGTGCCAAACGGGCACGAAGGGCCTGGGTTTAAACTATAAAATTATAAACTACTTTTTTATTTTACCAGGTAAAGGTCCACCAAGCTGTAAAACTTTTTTTTTGTTTTCAGAAGTGACCCGCCACCACAAACGATAGCTTATGATGAAGTGGGAATTTATAGCAGCCGAATACAGGTCTCGAAATGCGGGAGAGAAAATCCACACGACCATGGGGAGAACATGCAAACTCAAAATAATATACAGGCGTCAGGGGTCGGAATCGAACCCACGACCTCCTCTGCCAAGCCCAAGGTAGTTAACATCTTATCTCGCCCCCCCCCCGGCTACAGGTGGCTGTGGCGTTTGTACGTTCCCCCCCCCCATTCTCTCCATGGGTTTCCTATTTCTCCTGTCCCGCCCCCCGCTCACTAAGCACACACATCTCGTCCTCGGCTACCTTGTTGATTTTTTTTCTTCCCCATCTCGTCCCTCGGCAGGCGGATACAACCGGGAGGAGTGTCTGCGTACCGTGGAACGCTACGATGCCAGCACGGACAGCTGGTCCTTCATCGCGCCCATGAACACCCCACGCGCTCGCTTTCAGATGGCGACGCTCATGGTATGAGGCCTCCCCTCCCTCCCTCCCTTGCACACACCCACAAATTTCCTGTAAATGCACGGTCAGTTGATTTGGAAGTTTATTCTCTCGGACTGTCGCTGTCACCGTCCAGTGGGCTTCGTTATTCTTAACATTTGTCAATTCCCCTTGGGCCACGTAACGTGTGGCTGAGCACGTTTTAGGGGCGGGCGCGTAATTACGATTCGTGTAAAAAATAAAGATTACAATTTCCCTCCCATTTTTTTTTTTCCCGGCTGGACATCTGTGCAAAAGAGTGGTCCCCTAGCTTATCGGATTCCTCCAGTATAATTAAATTGTGATGCTGAAATAAAAAATGATTCGGACTTCCTTTCAGTTGTGTAACTACGCCCATTACCAAATCACACGGGAGTTCGCCCTGGCTTGTCAGATCTTGGAGGCTAAGCAGGGATGAGTCTGAACAGAGCTGGCTTGGGTGACGACCTTGTATAAAGCGGAGCGGAGATACGTGGGTGACAAGCGCGGTGAAGTATGGTCAAACCAAACCTGCAAGGCGCGTGGGGAGGCCTGCATGGATGTCTTTTCGGTTCGCTTTTACCTTTTTATATACATTTTTCAAAACGGATTAAAAATAATGAAAGTATAAAGTGCGGGTTTATTCACGTGATACCCTGGCAGTGTAAGGTGGCCGCCAGGAGTGTAGCTCCCAACCTGAGAACCTTGATTCGAAACGCGGCAAGCTGTGGTTGAACCGGGTTCTGACTTGCCGTTTAGTTTCTATCGCTCGCTGCAGGAGGCTGCTCTGTGCGAAACCCAACACCAAATCATGTAACACTACCATCCTAAACCAAACTTGCGTGTGTGACCTGCCGTGATCCGTCTTTGTTACACCGGTGCGTTGCGAGGTAGCGACCCACCTCGCACGCAGACATTCACAAAGGGCATTGTTTACAAGTGCAGCAATTATGCTCACCCGGACTTGAGAAAAAGGCAGGCGTGCCAATTTGGGTGGCGGAACAAATGTAAGACGCAGCTCTCTTTAGGATTACATGGAACATTGGCTGCTGCTGAATAGAGTTTGAATGGCTTTTGATTACAACTCTGAGAAGATTTACCATCGGGCTTTGAACGGTAATGCTGTGATGACCGTTCGGAACGTTCTGTTTTTAAGAACACGTGTAAATTGTTTGACGGAAAGTTCGCGCACGTTTCTTTGAAAAAAATAGGTTTTTGTGAAACTATTTCCTGCCATGACACATTACCACCCAACGTCGTTCTTACCATGTACATTAACGTTTTAGGAGAGGCAATCTATTGTCACAGTGGTTGGGCACACCGCTGTTAACCCAAAAGGTGTCTGGGTTAAGCTTTGTCACCTCATCATTTCCCATCTCATCATTTTCTGAAGCCAACTTTTTTTTTAAAGTACAACTCCAGTGGTACATTGCCTATGTACCAAATCGCCCGGAAAGTGTCCAGCCTTGTCAGGTCTCGGAAGCTAAGCTGGGCCTGCGATAGTGCCTGGCTGAGTGACCGCCATGTATAAACCAGGAGATTGAGGCTGCTGTGTAGGGTGATCGTGGAAAGCAGAGGGGCAGTGCAATAAAATGGGACTGGTTTCTCACCCCTTGGTTTGTGCAGGTTTGGTTTGTATGATTTTGTGAGTGTGCGGCCAACCATTTTTCCTACTCTAAATTCGAGACGTGCTCTTTGTATTCGAATCTACATGCGGCTATGCGGTCGGACGTGGGACAGCAATGTGCACGGTGTGTGGTGTGTGTGTGTGTACTGCGTGTACAATGAGTAGAGCGCCGAGTTGCTAAAACACGGCAAGTTGGCACGGTAGGTGGCACAGGTGGTCCATCGGCCAGTCGTCTCGGCGAGTCGACCCGTGGCACCTGGGTCTGTCCCGTGACCTCCTGCCAGCGGGCGTTTGACACTTCACGTGGCCTTAACGTGCACATAGCCTGGCACAAGCACCGTGGTGATGTCACTTGGCGAATGGTGGTTGGTGGTGTTGTACTGTGTGTGCGTGTACTGTGCGTACTGTGTGCAATACTCGGCAGGTAGCTGTCTCCTCACTTTACCCGCCCTGTCTTTGGACCGCGTCTACTACCTACTACCACGACTACTACTGCTACTATTACCGCTACTGCTATCACTACCATCACTACCACTGCTACCACCACTGCTACCACTACTCCTACCGCGTAGAGCGAGGGGGGGTGGGGGGGGAGCCCCTTTTGTACTTTGCTGCAAATTTTGTTCTACTCCCACGTTCAACCGGCACTGGACCCAGCGTGTTAAGAGTGTGGTCAAAGAACCCACATGCCCTCATGGCGTGTGCGGAGGCAAAGTTGGACTACACGACAACAGGACTGTGTACTTTTGAGAAGTAAATGGTGACCTTTGTACGTATTGAAAGGCTGCCCCCCCCCCCCGACCAGAATATTGTTGAGCACCACTTCCGAGCTCGTTTGCACGGGAAGTCGCGCGCGAGTTTTGACGTCGGCTGCTCGTTGCAGGGCAAGCTGTTTGCTCTTGGAGGTTCCAACGGACACTCGGACGAGCTGAGCTCTGGTGAGGTTTACGATCCGGATGCCGACCAGTGGATGTCCATTCCTGAGCTTCGTACCAACCGCTGCAATGCAGGTCAGCAGTCGTCCTTGTTACGCTTCGTGGACATTTCATTACTCGCTCGTAATAATAATAATAATAATGATGATATTTTTTTTTATGTAGCGCCCCTTGTACACGGGGAGGGTGGGGGGAGTGCATCTCAGCATTTTATACACAAGTGCCTTGCCTTTGCATCTCTCCTCGACACATTTGAAATGGTTATCCCCGGTGCCGGCTGTCGAAACACAAGACAACTCGGCGCAGGGCCTGTAAACTCGTTAGTCCCGCGACGTTTATTGCCTTTTTTTAACCGTGCCTTTTGATACGATCGCATTGTAAAGCGCAATATAAATCCACGTATTGTCCTCAAAAGGTGCTGCCGATCATCATGCTGTATGTAACCCCCACGCCTCCCCTATTGCCTACTCAGGTGTGGCGGTGCTGAAGGATAGGCTGTACATTGTCGGTGGATCAGACCCCTATGGCCAGAAGGGTCTGCGGAGCTGCGATGCCTTCGACCCGATCTCAAAGACGTGGATCACTTGCTCACCGACAAACACTCGTAAGCTGCGTTTTGATTCGCTATTATTGTGATTGTGCTTGTATCTCCCGGAAAGCATCGCTGAGTTCGCGATAGACTTTTTCCCGAGGGTCCTGTAAGGGGGACGATGTTGCTGCTGTGTGCAATTCCAGTTGAGTAATTTGCAGGTCATATTTTAGCAACGTGATGTTTGGCCATGGTAGCATGATGTAAACAATCTCGCGTGGTATCCAGGAGGCCGTGGGCTCGATCCCGACCCGGACTCCTGTATATTTGGAGTTTGCATGTTCTCCCTGTGGTCATGTGAATTTTTTCTCCAGTCCTCCGTTTTTTTTCCCCTCCCCATTTAGAAACATGGGTTTTCGAGTATTTGGCCGCTGTACGTTTCCACATGATGAGCCACTTCGTTGAGCTATCATTTGCAATTGCCAGGTCGCTTCTGAAAAAATTGTTGTATCGCTCAGTGGGCCTCACCTGGTAAAATATAAATTGTTTTATTTAATGTATGTTACTTCAGCTGTGGGGAGAAACTCTGGGCAACCCAGAGGAATCCCATGTGGAACAGATGTGGAACATACAAAAACCGGTTTCCCGAGTTGGGATCCGAACCCAGGCTGTTACGTCTGCGAGGCACAAGAGCTAACCACTGCGCCACCCTGGCGCCCTTGAGAGAAACGCAATTGCCTTGGTGCTGACAAAGAGATTGAGAAGCGCGGCTGATGATGAGAGGGTTGGCTGTTTGTGATATGGCAGGGATATTGAGAACACGGACCAATGATCGGTGGCTTCGGCAAAGACTGTGACGGTAGTAGAAGTATAGGAATAGGTTTTACCCTTTTAACTGGCACACAAACTGACACCTTTATTCAAGGCATCATGTTTGCAATAACCACAACACAAGCAGTCAAAATGCAAACAAAAAAGACAACTCTGATAATAATATGCACTGTCCTTGAATTTGATTGGTCCACACCCGAGACAGCTTTTCTTAGAGCCTAGTCTCCATTGGTGTTGGACCAGAAGACGCCAAAAGGCGTACAACTCAAAAAACAGCGCACTATCAGAGTATTGAGGGCTCGGGGTTAGCATTTACATTATGAGACGACCTTTGCCAGAAACAAGATATAGGAATAGGTTTTACCCTTTGAACTGGCAAAGGAGGTCTCATAAGGTAGTAGAAGTAGTAGTCGCCACAGCAATGAGGAGAACACAGATGAACAGTGAGCGAGAAGCTCGTGTGATATGCATAGCTGTGGCAGAGATACACGGAGGAGACGGGTTGACGGTAGTGGCCATAAATATAGCGGTAACAGCTGCAAGAAGATGTATCAAATTAGGATGCGTCTTTTCGTTTGTTTTTTTTTGGCACTTGAATTCACAAGTATCTCAAATGCGACGGTGCATTAGCAACTACTAAACTACCGTGGATGTGACCTCGCCTTTGCCTTCGGTGTGTCCCCCTCGTCTCTTCTCGCATAGCTGTGAAAATCGCGGAAGTTCGTATTCGGCGATTTTGAGAGAGGCGATGTAGTAGCGAGTCGCTAGGTGCTGAATCGTCAAGACGGTATTCGTTAAACTCGTGAAATCTCCCCGTCAGTCAGGGCAAACGTGTGCCTATTGTTCTCGGACGTGGTCCCAACCCCCTAAAATTTGTGCTCTGCTCTCTGGGCTCGTGTTGAGCTACAATAAAAACAAACAATTGTCGCGCCGTACGTAAATATATTAACGCCACGACCTCGCCTCGCCTCGCCCGACCCACTGCCACCAGACCGGCACCAGGCGTCGGTGTGCGAGCTGGACGGCTTCCTGTACGTGGTGGGCGGAAGCGAGGCGTGGAACTGCCTCAACACGGTGGAGCGCTACGACCCGCTCGGAGACACCTGGACCTTCGTGGCGCCCATGAACGTGGCGCGTCGCGGCGCCGGCGTCGCTGCCTACAACGGTATTCATTGGTGATGGCAGTGGGGGGCGGGGGGGGGGGGCCCCCCCCCCCCTCACTCACTCTCCAGGGCTTTTCTCTCGTGCTTTCGAGGCTAAGACTTTCTCTCCCCAGGTTCCGCCAGTGTTTGTTTTATTTTTTTGTCCCTCCACATTTAGTCGCTGTGACGCATTAGAAATTTTTTTAGAGTATTTGATAAACCGCTTCGTCACGGTGGCGATGTCAACAACCTCGCCTGGTTATACGGGAGGTCGTGGGCTTGATCCCGACCCTGACACCCGCTCTATAGTTGGAGTTTTTCATGTTCTCCCTGTGATCGCGTGGTTTTATTTCCTCCGGGTCCTCCGTTGTTTCCCTCCCACATTTAGTAACATTTTCGAGTATTTTGGCTGCTATGAATTTCCACGTGACGACGAGTTTTTTTTTTTTAATTTGTGATCGATCAGGGTCGCTTCCGAACAAGAGCTGCACAGCTCAGCGGGCCTTGCACCTGATAAAACAAAAAATAGTTTAGTTTCAGTAATGTCATCCCAGTGTCATGGCAAGAGATTTAAAGTGTCCAATCGGATCGCCCGTAGAGCAATGCGACCCTCAACCGTCGGTGTTAACAGAACCGTCCGTGGAAGCGGGATACCACGGAACAACCTCCTGAGATCCTTTCAAGTGACCTCTGGGTTGATACAGCAGCCGCAGGAGGGCACCTCAAAGCCTTCCCAATATATTCTTGGTTCTTTCGGTAAAGTCACGTTAGAAGGGAAACAATAAAAAAATTATATGTAAAACAATACAATTCTCGCGACGTTTTGACTGAAGCACAAGCAATCGTCATCGGGTGTGAAAAACACATTTTCTTGCTGTGGTTTTCACACCTGATGATGATTGCTTCTGTTGCAGTCGAAACGTCGTGAGAATTGTATTGTTTTATATTTTTATTTTGTTTCCCTGCTACGTGACTTTACCGAAAGAACCAATAATATGCATCCCTGCAGTCACGAAAGCTTTAAATCAAAACCTTTATTTTGACCTCTCATCCTTTCTCATCCTCCTTTGTCTGTCTCTCATTCCACCAAACAAACACCACACACTTGGCACCATCACCCACCCGCCACTCCCGCCTCACTGGTTTAAGAAGGCCTGCTCCAGCCCCTCCGACGCTATGGGACTGCGCCCGTCTGTTGTTCCACACCAAACAAAAGTCGGACTTACTGGCTCCTCTTGGAGCTTTAAGGCCGCGACAAGCACCCGGGACGGTCTTTTAGCAGCTTTCTCTGCTTCACCCGAAGACGTGCCCCCGTGGTCTTCAGTTCGTCTTGAATGGTGTGTCGCCAGGTTCTACTGGTAGTAGGAAACGTAGTGGACTGTGGAAGCCCAACCGGGATTATTCACAGGAGGCAGGGGATTAATTGTGTATGTCTGTGGATGTCTGTCCACGTGTATCCGGACACCCGGATATATAACAAATGCGCTCCTAGTGTTCATTACTGGTAGGAAACGTAGTGGACTGGAAGCCCAACCGGGATTAATTCACAGGAGGCAGGGGATTAATTGTGTATGTCTGTGGATGTCTGTCCACGTGTATCCGGACACCCGGATATATAACAAATGCGCTCCTAGTGGGCATTACTGGTAGGAAACGTAGTGGACTGGAAGCCCAACCGGGATTATTCACAGGCGGCAGGGGATTCATTGTGTGTGTCTGTGGATGTCTGTCCACGTGTATCCGGACACCCGGATATATAACAAATGCGCTCCTAGTGGGCATTACTGGTAGGAAACGTAGTGGACTGGAAGCCCAACCGGGATTATTCACAGGAGGCAGGGGATTCATTGTGTATGTCTGTGGATGTCTGTCCACGTGTATCCGGACACCCGGATATATAACAAATGCGCTCCTAGTGGGCATTACTGGTAGGAAACGTAGTGGACTGGAAGCCCAACCGGGATTATTCACAGGAGGCAGGGGATTCATTGTGTATGTCTGTGGATGTCTGTCCACGTGTATCCGGACACCCGGATATATAACAAATGCGCTCCTAGTGGGCATTACTGGTAGGAAACGTAGTGGACTGGAAGCCCAACCGGGATTAATTTGCGGGAGAAACGTAGTGGTCGGCCAACAAGTTTGGCTTGAATATCCGTACATAATTACTTCAAATTTTCCTACCAGCCCCCTCCGCATGAATGTGTCCTTCGGCCTGCCCCGTGGTCTCTCTCCTTGTGGTGTCCACTGTGGGGCAGTTTTTCCTATGGACTTGGGTTCCATTCTCAACACGTGTCCCCATACCCACCCGAGTCTTCTCTCTGTTATGTCCCGCGCGAAGCATCTTGCATTGGTCTTGGTGTACAAAGACAGAGTTCTCCCGCATAGCCTCAACAGACTGTTGGGGCAAGTTCTGTTATTTAGCGAGTGGCAGCACCTGGTGAAGGCTGACACGGCACTCGAAGGGGGTGGGTGGCCAACACCACGCCTGGCCGCCTTTGTCTCTCCCCAGTGGCGATGTTTACCACACACACACACACACACCGCACCAGGTACTCGTTTGATTCCGAGTCGACCTAGGGGTGAGGCCCAGGGCCGGTTCGGCGGGAATCGAACTCGGGTCGCCGGCTTCGTAGCGCGGCACCGCTACATCACCGCTCCACGCACGCGCGCACGCCCATCCGCTGCCCATACATACAGACTGTAACATTTGACACCGCTCGCTCGCTCGCTCGCTCACCCGTGGGCCCCCCATCTCCCCCTCGCTCTGTTCGCCCCTCAGGCAAGCTGTTCGTGGTGGGCGGCTTCAACGGCGCCAGCTCGCTGGGCGCGGTGGAAGTGTACGACCCGGTGCGCGACGAGTGGACCGTGCTGGCCAGCCTGTCGGTGGTGCGTAGCAATGCCGGCGTGGCGGTGGCCGGGGGGCGGCTCTACGCAGTCGGCGGCTTCACCGGCGCGCAGTTCCTGCGCTCCGTCGAGGTTTACGACGCGCAGGCCAACCTGTGGTCTCCCTACATCGCCATCAAAAGAGAGGCTGATCTGTTGGAGGGGGAGGAGGAGGAGGAGGTGGTGGAGGAGAATGAGTGATGAAAGAAAAGGGTGGGGGGGGGGGGGGGGGGGGGGGGGGGGGGGGGGGGGAGGGGTCCTTTTTGTTGCCAAGATGACACGTGGCTGCCAACTGGGGTAGGGTTTGTAGTGGAGGAGGGGGGAGGAGTCCCCTCCTAGATGCATGCGATTATTATGTTTTTTTTAACACCTTCCAACAAAGGTTTTAAAGCATTATTTCATTATCTCCTGCTGTAGCGGGTCATAAATAGGATCCAATGTAGATTCCGTTTTAGCGTAAAGTTTTTTGTTGTCGTTTCGAGACTCGCCCGACCGGAAAAGCAAAACGGGATTGACCCTGAGAGTTTCCCAATACTTGATGATGATGGTACAAACACCGTGAAAACGGTGAAGCCCTTTGTGACCAAGGCGATGACGTCACACGTCATGCGCCGTGTGATGTCCTCTCACTGTGGCCACTTGAAAAGCACCGCGCGTTGAAAAGCGATAACAAAATCCATGCATGTCGTGCGTGATTTTAATTTTTATCATTTTAATTGGTTGCCCCGCTCACGAGGTGCCCGAAATTAATGCACGTAATAATGTTGACCGTTGCTGATCCATCGCGCGACTGGGCTGCCGGATAATGGAATCCGCGCAGCTGCCCGGAAGCTGCACGTGCAAAAATAATATCGAATTTTACGCAACTCCCCAATTGTGAACCTTTTTTTTTGGAGGCAAGGCGCTTAATCCTCCGTTTATCCTGCACGAACGTTTAATCGGGGTTGAGCCGGCAGAACGCTTGGGGATGGGTTACCACCGTGAATAACCACAAGCGGGTGTTGTCGGCTCGTACAAGACTACAGGATCCGGCATGAGGCCGGTGCATCGATAGCCTCGATTGTGCCGTAATACGCTCCGTGCTCCCTTGCAGCCTTCAGAAACGCCCCCCGCACTGACTTTGACACGGCAATGTGCACGGTCAATGAACCGCCACGGGGACCCGCAGGGTGTCGGGGGGTGTAGGGCACTTGACCCAACAGTGGATTGCCAAAAAAGGACTTGCAGTGCACGTTCAAGCCTCGGTCCTCAAACTCGGACGCCAAGGCCACGTTTTGGATGAGGCTTCAAGAGACGAGGCTCCCTTGGGATAATTTGGATTCGCTGTGTTAGCTGGTTGAGGACTAAGATGCCCATGAACAACGGGGGAGGTGCATAAGTCCTAATCGGAAACTCGCCCCGTCTTTTATACTCGTTGCAGTTGGCAGCTACGTTACCATCTTGTCGAAGGTCGAGCGGAGGATTTGTGTCGCGCAAACTTATCCCTTGATTGCAGATGTAGTAATATATTTGGACGTTTTAGTCACATTTTTTTTAATTCTCTTCATACAAGTGGCCATTAAAGTACCTTAGTCTTGACAAACTGGCATCAACGTTTGTGTTTCATTTATATTCGAATATCATATAGTAGATCATTGCCTTGTCTTTTTTAAAACTTCAGGTTCCAGTGATGGTAACTTAAAAATGAAAAATGCTTTCAAGATATGGCTTTTTAGGGCCAAGGATTCTGAAACACCTATTTTATTTTTTACCGTTGCAAGCGCCCTATCCTGGGGTCACGGCCGAACGAGGACACCAGGTTTTTTTTAATTTATTTTTTCCACCGCAGAGTCAGAGCCGTGCCACTGGCGCCAAACGACACAACGAACGTGTCGAGATGATCCTGTGTTTCTTTTTTAAAATCTTACCCTCCTGCGCGGGGTAACTGGGTTGATGCCACGGGCCCTCCGTGTGCGACCTTCTGGCATTGCCGCGTGCTGTAAACGCGCCGGTAACCCGACCACCCCGTGGCGGGGGGGGGGGGGGCCCGGCTTGTCCCCCTGGAGCCAGATCCCGAACCTCCTCGTGAGGAGGGCTCGCGCGCGCAGGGGTCGTCGGTAAAAACCAAGATAACAAGAGGAGCCGTTCATTTTTTTTTTTTAGAATTTGGTTTAAAAAAAAAAAAAACTCGATTCAGGAGCCGCAAGTGCAATGTAGTGAATACACGGGACGATGGGTATCCTTTAATAAATAATGGTCACGAAGCGGTCCTCAAAATGAACCACAGGTTGCCCAACCCCCCTGCCCACGCTGAACCGGGCTTCCGTGGTCAGGGGATTGGCGGCGGCCAAAATGACAAAGAGGAGGCGAAACTAAATTTTTTCTTCTCGAATTTCAAGAGCCGTCACCGCAGTCCCCCACCGCACGCGACTCCCGGAGCCGCAGGATGGTGACCCCTCCCCCGCTGTGCCGGGTGCGTACCGCTGTGCCGGGTGCGTACCGCTGTGCCGGGTGCGTACCGCGGCTCGGTTACTGCTCGGCACAGCAGATAGCCAGCGGGGTGGAAAAAAAGCACCACCAACCCCCCCCACTGCTTTAAGGATCCCCATGGCACTGGGCTCGGCTCTGATGTTACGGTGGAAAAAGGGGAGGCTGGAAGGTTCTGTCGGGAGGAGTCTATCGTTTGTGGGAAATGTCAGCTTTCTTGCATCTCAATTGTCTGCTTCAGTAGTGACGTAGACATTGTGGTTTAAACCTTGGTATAAACGATACATAAAGTTTGAAGCGAATAGCTCGGCTTTGTATCATAAAAATGTAGAGTTTTTTTCTTCTTGATGAAGTTGACGATGTTTTTATTATTTCCTGATTGTTTTTTGTTAGAGATTAATTATTATTTTTTTTCCCCCTCAAACATTCACAATTAAATTCGTGTAGAGAGCGCGCGCCCCGTTTTGTGCTGCCGTCAAACCTTGGCGAGGTATTTCTGAAATCAATCTGATGGTCATTTTTACATTTTATTTCTCCGAGGGAAGGTGTGTGCATCTCCTCCTCCCCCCCCCCCCGCAAGCTATCGTGCAAGTTATTTTTCTTATTTTGCTCATTAGCATCAATCTTTTGCATGGTTTGTGTATTTTTTTTTTAAGAGCCAGGTGTTTTTAGGCAGTCGCTGGAAATCGTAAACGCACCCGGAAAATACGCAGAACGCGTCTGGTACGTTGCTTCAAAGGCGAAGGGGGCACGGGAAGTTGAGTTCCACACTTGAGCAATGAGTTGTGCAACTAAATCACAGTGGGGGGAGGTAGGGGGAGGGGGGGAGGTGGGAAAACCTGCAACTCGATCGTCCCGTGCAACTGCTTTGGTCCGGCGTGCGAGCCGAGGTAGTTGCTGCAGCACGGTCGCGGCTGAGCGTGGACGCAAGACATTCATTGGCCCCACTTTTTGTTTGTAACACAGCAGGGCCCCGCTCACTCTCCGGCTAGCTCCGCCCCCCCCACACTCGCATCAGGGTCGGGACTGAGAAACGCATTGTTTCAAATTTACCGAGCGGGATCTGCTTGAAAGGAAGAGAGGTGGGTGGGGGGGAGGGAAGATCCACGCTTGGAAGTGGAACGGTTGCGCAGAGAAGTCCGCATTTAACGTTTCTGTTGCACAGAACCAAATTGCGAAACTGATGGAACAGGCGGTTGGACCTGGGATGCAGGGGAAAGAAAGTTGGGAATTGTTCTTTTCGTGTTTTTTTTGTTGTTAAGCTTTGCAGAATTATTTTGCACTGCTGGTTCGCAAGGAAAGAATCAGTAGTGGAGTGTCGACTTGACGCTAATGGGAAGCTTTCAAAGTATGCAATGATAGGTTTTTTTGTGTGTGTGTGTGCGCGCGTTTTTTTCTTATAGAATTGAGTGACGTCGCGTGTATTTATTTTGCTTCTGTGTAGTTTTACCGTGGAGGGGAAAATGTCTCATCTCGGATATCAATTTTCCTTCAATTGCGACAAAGAATGTTCTGGTTTTTTTTCTCTCTCTCTATCTCTCATGTTAAGGTATATTACTTTGTAAGCTATTGAACATGTGCATGGTTCGAAAAAAAAACCCCGCTTAATTAAGCTCGCATCTAACACACACCAGATCAAACCACTTCACATTAGGCACTAGACCAAAGTTGAGTTTGATGGGATAGGGCTAAAACTTTTAAAATATTTCTGGGGTGTGGGGGCAGGGTTAGATTTACTCTGCTTCTTGAAACTCGTTTTTGGTTTAACGGTGGTGTTGTGCGCGGGTCTTAGCAAAGCCAATTTAAAAAGCATTTTTATTACGTTTTGGTTTCAATTTTGCTTGCAGCTTGCACCGGCTCTCACGGCAGATGTTAAGCAGCTTTTGAAAAGGCCTTCTTGAGTGGTTGTCCGTAGTACAAGAATCTTTCTAACCAGAAGCCTTCAATTGTAAGCGTGTTGGGGACACGGGGGGGGGGGGGGGGGGGGGGGGGAATTTTTGAAGTTTATTAATACTGTACCGTTACTCTATTTTGCTGTGTTTTAGGAAATGTGAGCGTGTGAGGAGTGTGCAGGCATGTGTAAAAGATTTTGGTTACATTTCGAAGATGGTCGATTATTATACCATGTTAACAAGTGCTAAAGAAAACTGGAAGCAAATGCGCCATACAAAGTTTTTTTTGTATGCGGTTGTCGGCAAAATTTATATATATTAAATGAAAAAAAAAGAAATAAAAAAATTTAAAGAATTATCTGGACAGCAATCGCTTGAATAGATTTTTAGCTTATTTTTACACGGTTTGTGAATTGCCATCACTTGCTATTTAGTGGCATTTTTAATAACACGAATGAAAACAACGCATCGTTTTTGGCAAGTAACACCCAGTAGACTACCACGAATGTGCGTGCGTGCATTGACCCAAGTTGTTCTTTCGGCTCGATCACGAATAGGGTTGCCACAATATTTTTCACGACACTTTGCATTGATGACGCGACGATTCTCGCCATTTTCCTAACCTTGTAATTGTGTTTCGCATTATTTACTTACAAGATGATGTGCTATGATGGGAACTTTGGAAGCCCGAGATAAATGTCGCTCAAGTTCTTCAACTGTAAACATTTTTTTTGAAGCGGCCTGCATTTCCGAATTTAAATGTGCCACGATCCTGATGTAATGTGCGAAATCGGACGATGTTAGTGTCGTGAATCTTATATTGTGCACCGTAGTGTCGCCATATCGCGGTAACCCTGGCATGTAAACAAAATCTGCTTTGACAAGATGCAGAACTCCGAAAGATGTGGATGGGATTTTGAGATAACCCATTTACCTATAACCCAGGGTTCTTCAACTGAACATTCAGGTGGGCCATAATAGAATTGGCGCATGTGCACACGGGGACGGGGGTGACCGGTTTTGTCTTTTGTGAACGGCTTTCACGGTGTCACCTGGTGTGGCATCATGAAGTCTGTCCATGGGACTGAATCCGTGTCTTGTCTACAGCTGTCATCCGTACCTCGTCACCTCTGGTCTCGCTGATCTATTCCTTCTCATCTCTATAATTTCGACGAATCTGTGCATCTCTTGTCTACGGCTGTGTCATCGTATCCGTTTCATTCGCTACCCATTCTCGCCTACAGATTTATCAACGTGTACCCCTTCGTCTTCAGATCTCGTTTAGATCTCGGGAGAGCCATGTCTATTCACGGGCCACACACACTCGGGTGAGCCCTTCCAAGAGCATAGTCCGGCCTTAATCTGGCCCACGGAGGGGTCTACCAGTTGAAGAACCATGCACTTGCGTAATGTGCGCGTTAGACACACGCATTGGTCGAGGTAATAAATACCAAAGTTGAAGGTGGTGGCAACTGAATACGGATTTGTGACATTCGGAGCTGCCGAGCTGAAGCGACGGCTGCTGTTTGCCGGTGATCAAAATTGGTGGGAGTCGCGCCCGTATGATGATGACGATGATGATTTCCTTTTTGCCGTCTCGTAGCAAACTCAAATAAACTGTAGCGAAATAAGCCCCAATGTTGGTGTGTGATGTCTGGTTCATTTTAACTCTTGGTATTTATCCCAAAAATTGTGCTATCGGCGTCCCGTCACCGAGACGAAGTGTCCGTGTCCCTTGGGTCTCGCAGAGCAATCCACAGGAACGCCGGGTTCGGTTTCATCTTCTGGCGCGGCAGTTGAAATGGGCAAAATTATTTTTTAAAAACCCCGCCGACCGCCACCTGTTCAACCCAGCAGTATAAATGGTTACGCACACGGTAACATCGTCGTCATCCTGGAAGACGATGAAATAACTTTTTTTTAATAGAGCTCCTCCCATAGGAGACCTGTTTGCCAGCAGTAGTTTTGAGAAAGCATCTGCGCCTCGCCTCAATGCACTATAGTATCGAGGCACTGGAATTTTTTTTTTAAGTGCGTTGTTGGGGGAAAAATTCAAGACCCAACAGAGAATGGCTTGACATCAGATATTGGTGGCAGAAATATGTGGCCACGACTTTAGCATATTGGCACAAGACGGAGAAGAACGTGGAAACATGACAAAAGCGTGCAGTGGAGACCTTACGGGATTTCTGCCCCATGGATCGTGATGCTGACCAAATGCCGTGGCGCGGTTTGTACAACAGACGGCGCCCCAGTTAAACTCACCAGCCGCTCGGCTCTTCTGTGTTTTTCCTACGTTCTGAAGATCATCATCGGTCATCCATGAATCAAATCCTGTCCCTTAAGTCCCTGGATTCTCAGGCAGAATTATCCATCACCGGACCCTGTGTAAGTACAACATCGCATATCCCTTAGAGGTGCGAATTCAACTCCAATACATTCACCCGTGTTGTGTGGAGAATATCGGTAACGTAAATACGCAGAAAAAGTTCGTTTCCCGCATCTGTCTTTTCACAAAAGGTACTTTTTTCTCTCGTACAATCCTCCCACGGCTGGTATTTGTGGGGGTTATTTGACCATACTTCACCAGAGTGGTCAGTACGGGGGTGAAGGAGGGCGAGCATCGATATGGGCGGTGCATAGTACTGACAAAAGACGGGCTACCACACCGCGTTTTCCTCATTGAAGCTCTGTCGTCCCGACAGTTCTGTACCTTTCACCTGAAGACGGCCGCTTGCGTTGTGGCCGAAACGTCGTGGGAATTTTATTGTTATTTTATTATTTTATTCTCATTCTACGTGACTACCGAAAGAACCGAAGATTTGAAGCATGTTTTATTTTTAGGGGGGGGGGTGGGAAGAGCTTTGTGACGTCATATTTGAGGTGGGGGGCGGTCTGATTTTTTGTGACGAGTGGGGGGGGGGTGGGTCAAAAATCGTCCAAAATCGCGTGACGTCATTTATGGGCGGCCCGTGGGTTGTAGTCGCCATCGACCGAGGTACTCCACCATCGTCTCTTTGTTGAGCACTCTCCATCACCGGCATCGATGAATTTGCGCATTTTGATGTCACATTTCTCAAACACCCCCCCCCCCACCTCGTCACACATCGTCACTAATGTCTGACCCCCCGCCGCCCCCCCCCCAGGTGCGTGACGGCATTTATGGACGGCCCCTAAGGCGGGTTGGGAGGATGGGGAGTTATAGAATGAATATAAATGATCTTCTTTGGTTCTTTCGGTAAAGTCACCACGTAGAATGAGAATAAAATAATAAATTGATAAAATAACACAATAAAATTCTTACGACGTTTCGGCCATAACACAAGCGGCCTTCATCAGGTGAAGGGACGAGACTGTCTGGAGGACAGCGCTGTACCACAATAAAATATTGTGTTATTTTATTTTATCAATTTATTATTTTATTCTCATTCTACGTGACTTTACCGAAAGAACCAAAGAAGATGAATCCTTGCAGTCACGAAAGCTTTAAATCGAAATATAAATTACAATGGGGTATCCATTGCCGGTCGGATTATCCATACGGTAATCAACTAACGTCATTGCAGTGCATTGTTCCTGTACCTCCCGTGGCGTTAAACTAAAAACGCCTGCGTGTTAAACTCATCCATTTAAAAACCAAAACCACGTGGGGCTGCGAACTCCACGTGGCACCTACCCCCACCGCTCGGTTTCCGGTACTTGGCCAATGGGGTGAGAGCGAGGAGGGGCTGGGGGCGGGACGCAAAGCGGATCCGGCTACGGTGGCCGCCTCCGTCCTTTTAAAAAAGAAAAACGCGATTTTTTTCTCCCCTTGTCGCTTAGGGGGGATAACGCGCAGCAGCAACAGCAGCGGCGGCTGTGGAAGTTTCCAAGGCAACGCCGACGCCTCGGGCAGGCAAGTGGGGTGGCTGCGAAACGTCGTTTCCGTGTCGTCACTCAGTCGGCTTTGTCCTGGCGAGGGCGGCGGCGGGTTGAGTTGTGGCGGTCCCACACCTCCCTGGCGTCAGACGCCAGCACTACGACACTACACTATACACTACACTACTACACTATTACACTATACACTACTACACTACACTATACACTACTACACTATACACTGCACTATACACTACACTATACACAACTATACACTACACTATACACTACACTATACACTACACTATACACTACACGATACACTACACGATACACTACTACACTATACACTACTACACTATTACACTATACACTACTACACTACACTATACACTACACTATACACTACACTATACACTACTACACTACACTGTACACTACACTATACACTACACTATACACTACTACACTACACTGTACACTACACTGTACACTACACTATACACTACTACACTACACACTACACTACTACACAATACACTACACACTACACTATACACTACACTATATACACTACACTGTACACTACTACACTCCACTATACACTACTACACTATACACTACTACACTACACTATACACTACACTATACACTACACTATACGCTACACTATACACTACTACACTATACCCTACTACACTACACTATACACCACTACACGATAATATACACTACACTATACACTACACTACACTATACACTACTACGCTATACACTACTACACTATACACTACTACACTACACTATACACTACACACTACTATACACTACTACACTATACACTACACTATTACACTACACTATACACTACACACTACTACACTACACTATACACTACTATACACTACTACACTACACTATACACTACTACACTATACACTACACTACTACACTATACACTACTACACTATACACTACACTATACACTGCTACACTACACTATACACTGCTACACTACACACTACTGCACTATACACTACTATACACTACACTATACACTACACTATACACTACTATACACTATACTATACACTACACACTACTACACTATACACTACTACATTACACACTACTACACTACACTATACACTACTACACTATACACTACTACACTACTACATTACACACTACACTATACACTACACTATACACTACTACACTCCACTATACACTACTACACTATACACTACTACACTATACACTACTACACTATACACTACTACACTATACACTACTACACTATACACTACTACACTATACACTACACTATTACACTACACTATACACTACTACACTATACACCACTACACTATACACTACACTATACACTACTACACTATACACTACACTATACACTACTACACTACACTACTACACTATACACTACTACACTATACACTACTATACACTACACTATACACTACTATACACTACACACTATTACACTATACACTACTACACTATACACTACTACATTACACACTACACTATACACTACTACACTATACACTACTACATTACACACTACTACGCTACACTATACACTACACTATACACTACACTATACACTACTACATTACACACTACACTATACACTACACTATACACTACACTATACACTACTATACATTATTATACACTACACTATACACTACTACACTATACACAGACTCCTCTAGCTCCTCCAGGGTAATCCCCAGCGTGCAGCTTGGCGAGCACCTGGATCGCACCGCGGTCGGATCCCGCAGAACCCCCGGCACGACACCGGCCAGGGATTGTGCACGCACCCTGCAACTTGCTCCTGGGGTTTTTTTTTGCCAGACGTCCCGTAGAGTATCGAATTGCAATGATGAAACCATTTGTCGGTACTACGACTACTACTCGTACGCTACACTCGACCATGTTGGCTCTGTCACGGCTCAAAAGCGATTGAATGTGTCGTGTGGGACTGCTACGCCTGATCCCTCGACACATTTAAGTCTCATGGATATGTGTGAGTCTATGGGTCTCTGTGTGAGTCTACGGGTCTGTGTGTGAGTCTATGGGTCTCTGTGTGAGTCTATGGCTCTCTGTGCGAGTCTCTGCGAGTCTCTGGGTGTGTGTAAGTCTATGGCCCTCTGTGTGAGTATACGGGTCTCTGTGAGTCAATGGCTCTGTGTGAGTCTATGGATCTCTGTGTGAGTCTATGGGTCTCTGTGTGAGTCTATGGGTCTCTGTGCGAGTCTGTCTCTGTGTGAGTCAATGGCTCTGTGTGAGTCTATGGATCTCTGTCTATAGGTCTCTGTGTGGGTCTATGGCTCTGTGTGAGTCTATGGCTCTCTGTGCGAGTCTCTGGGTGTGAGTCTATGGCTCTGTGTGAGTCTATGGGTCTCTGTGTGAGTCGATGCGTCTCTCGCGACCCTCAGAAAGGGCACCTCACACCCCCAGGAGGTGGCGTGCCAGATAATACGACAAATCGCTAACCTTAAACACCCGGCCGTTCATAAAAGTTGAAGGCGGTATAGTACTATAGTAGTAGAGCAAGTCCAGAATCACTGAACCGGAATTGATAGTATCCTTTGGGTAAAGTCACTTGAAAGAAAAATAAAATATGATAGCTTGAAAGCATTTAGCGCGGGGCCCTTGAAAGTGCGGGGCCCCGTAGCTGCTACTGCATATGTAGTAGCTGCTACTGCATATGTAGTAGCTGCTACTGCATATGTAGTAGCTGCTACTGCATATGTAGTAGCTGCTACTGCATATGTAGTAGCTGCTACTGCATATGTAGTAGCTGCTACTGCATATGTAGTAGCTGCTACTGCATATGTAGTAGCTGCTACTGCATATGTAGTAGCTGCTACTGCATATGTAGTAGCTGCTACTGCATATGTAGTAGCTGCTACTGCATATGTAGTAGCTATATGTGTAGCTACTACATGTGTAGCTACTTGTGCTACGAGGATAATCCGCCGCTGTTTTTTGTGCCCTTTCACTTACAGCCGGGAGGGCACGGGCACGACCGCCGGCCCAGCGAGACCGTTCCCAAACTCGCCGGCCAAGGGGATGACGACCACCGCGACCACCGCGACCACCGCCAGTGACGCGTGGGACGAGCCCGGCGACCCCGGGCGGGGCCATCCCCTGGCGGCCCTCGCCTCGTCCGAGGAGTTTGCGAGGACGCGGTACCGCGACACGAGCCGGCTCGTCTGGGAGCGCCAGCGGCACGAGGCGGCGACGTCCGGCCGGGCGCAGCTGGAGGGGAGTTACCTCCTGCGCCGGTGCGGCGTGTGGACGGGCGAGCGGGGCAACCAGGCCGTGCTGGTGCGGGGTTGCCGCCCGCCCGCTAGCGCCAACCCCGCCAAGTCCACAGTGTGCAGCCTCATGTGATGAGCGGTTTTTTTTTTTTGGGGGGGGGGGGGGTGTGGGTGTAGGGGGGCACCGTGGATTTTTATAACTCTGAACGTGGGGGGGGGGGGAAGATCCGTTGGCTCGTTCACTCGACCACTCATTCATTCGCACATCCATCCGCTCACTCGCTCGCTCGACCACTCATTCACCCGAACATTCATTCGCACATCCACCCGCTCACTCGCTCGCTCGACCACTCATTCACCCGAACATTCATTCGCACATCCACCCGCTCACTCGTTCGCTCGACCACTCATTCACCCGAACATTCATTCGCACATCCACCCGCTCACTCGCTCGCTCGACCACTCATTCACCCGAACATTCATTCGCACATCCACCCGCTCACTCGCTCGCTCGACCACTCATTCACCCGAACATTCATTCGCACATCCACTCGCTCACTCGCTCGCTCGACCACTCGTTCACACACCCGCTCGCTGGTCCACTCGCTCAGCGAATGGGCGATGCCATTCGCAAAACACAACAGACAGGGGTGGGGGGGGGACGACGCTGTGCGTGCGAAACAAAAATGAACTTTATTAAATATAAACAGTCAAGTTTCTCATCGCAGTGAGCACTGATATGAAATGCCACAGGGGCCCCTCTGTTCACGTTGCGCGGAGCGGTCAGGAGCTCATTGCAGCGCTCGCTGGGCCGGTCGGCGCCCCCCCCTACCTCCTCCTCCTCCTCGAGGTCGACCCACGGGCAACAGTCGCTCGCTCACAATAAATAACAGCCCCCCCAAGCCCCCCCAACTTCCAACGTCGCAGGGTTCGGGGGGTACCCGGGGACAATCGAAATGCGCCTGCGGAGTCGACGGTCGGACTCCATCCACGTCTCCCCCACCATCCGCGCAATAAAGGAATGGGAATAGTGATACGCTCGCCACCCTGCGTTCTATAAAAACAAAAAAAAACTTTACGGGTATTTTTATTTTACCGGGTGTCAGGACAACCGAGCTATACGTTGCAGATATTTTTTTCAGGAGAAACCCGTCCATCGTCGCCGCGTGGAAATTGATATCGGCGAAATACACCGAACGCGTTACGTCGTTTCTAAATGTCGAGGGGTAAAACCGGAGGTCCCGGAGGAAAAAAAATCCACATGACGACAGGGAAGGAGAGAGAGAGAGAGACGCCGCAAACTCCAAATAAACAGCAGCAGCAGGCGTCAGGATTGAACCCACGAGACCTCCTGTATACCAGGCGAGGTAGTTAACATCTCGCCACCATTCGTCGCAGGTAAAACGAGAATTCTTGTCGCCTTCCTTGCGTTCGTTTCACCTGGGCTTACCCACCCCCCCTCCCTCCCTGCCTCCCGATTACCCCACAACGTCGCGAGTTGACTGCGTCGACGATGCACGTCGGAAAAAAGTTTAAAGGGACCCTCCAAGTCCAGCGTGCAGCGGCGACGGGGAGGGGGGCACGCCCCCCACCACCACCACCCCCCTACCCCCAACCCCCCTTCCCCTGCCACAAGCGACACGCTAACAAAAATAAATCTCCAACAAAGTGTAAACTGCAGCACGGGCCAGGGTCGCTCGCTCAAAACGTTGCCCCTGTCGGCCGTAAACCGTTGTTTTGTTTTGCCTTCTGCCCGCCGCGAGGGTCAAACTCGCCTCGCTCGCGGGTATCGGGGGGGGGGGGGTAAAAAAACACAGCGGGCACCCCCCCCCCCCCCGTCATTGCAGCTCTTCCTTCAAAACTCCGCCAGCACTCAACGAAGACTGACCTAGGTAGGCCGGCCGGCGGGAGGCGCACAGAGAGACGCGAGGAATGGAAGCGACGCCGTGATGCCGGGGAGGGGGCAGTAAGTGGGGGGGGGGGGGGGGCACCACCAACACTCCCCCCTTCGTGCCCCCCTCCCACGGGTCACAGCAGGGTCGGTGCTGGTCGCGAAGATTACGGACGGACGGACAGACACGGACGGACAGACACGGACGGACAGACACGGACGGACGGACAGACACGCACGGACAGACAGACACGCACGGACGGACAGACACGCACGGACGGACACGGACGGACAGACACGCACGGACAGACAGACACGCACGGACGGACAGACACGGACGGACAGATACACACGGACGGACAGACACGCACGGACAGACAGACACGCATGGACGGACAGACACGGACGGACGGACAGACACGCACGGACGGACAGACACGCACGGACGGACAGACACGCACGGACGGACAGACACGCACGGACGGACAGACACGGACGGACAGACACGCATGGACAGACACGCACGGACAGACACACGCGTTTGCCCCTCCCCACCCCCCCCAACAACTCCCTTCTCTTGCCTCCAGACGTTAATCTCTTTGCCAAGAAACACTCGTCATGTATATTTAAAAAAAAAAAGACTAAAACAATAACTCGCGCTACACCGGCCTCTCGAGGAGCGAACAACAAACGGGCGCGGGATTAATTAAATTAAATAAATATGCCGCGCACAACGCAAACGCAAATAAAGTTAACGAAAAGCCAGCGCGCGATCGGTTTGGCCGCCGCGCGGACGGCCCGACAATAGCGGAGCGGCGGGGCGCGTGTGTGTGTGTGCGTGCGTGTGTGTGCGTGCGTGTGTGTGTGTGTGCGTGCGCGCGGTGGGGGATTAATAAATACGATGCGACGGGTGGCCGGTTCTGCGGAAGCGTGAAATGTCGGTGGCGGTGTCGGAGCGGCGTCCATCTCCACCCGCTCTCCGGGACAAAATCGATCGTCGCTGTCGAAATCGCCCCCGCGTTGGGACCTCCTCGATCCTTCTCCTCGTCCTTCTGCAAGCGGCAGGCGTGTAACGACGCGTCCGTGCTACGGGCTGAAAACTACCGTCGGCGCGTGCGACACAACGCGTGTCAAGCTATCCACGTGCGGAGGAGACCCACAGAGAGACAGAGAGAGAGAGAGAGACTCGCGTACGCTGCTATACAGTTTTTGCACAGACCCCAGATGCCCGCATACGCTCGGCACAGACTTACAGGAGGACCCTTGAACATAAAACTACTACGCCACCAGCCACACAGGCCGCGTGCGGGGGTGAGGGGGGAGGTTCGGATTTTCTTTCTCAGCCTGCTTCTACCCCCCCGCCCCCCGCCGCCTCTGCCTCTTCTCCAGTCAGATCCACCACCGTCCTCCAACCCTCCCCGCCGCAGCCACTAGAGGCGCTACATTCACCAATGCGGTAACAACGCCGAATGATCGCCTTGCATCTGCCATCGCCCGGGGTGGGGGGCCCCCGATCGAGATCCGCGAGATTCCCACGGACGCCGCCATCGGCCTTTCTCCGTATCGCCCCCGCTTTGACCTCCGGTGACCCCGCCCGGCTGACGAGCACTGGCGGAGGAGACGGATGGGGCCCCCCAGGGCGGAGCGGCGGGAGGAAGGAGAGCTGGGCGAGCGGGCGGGCGAGCGAGCGAGCGAGCGTGCAGCCGGCCGCGGTCTCATCTGGACGTGACCCCGAGCGCCTGCTTGAGGTTCTCGTAGACCACGTAGCTGATGCTCACGGCCGGGATGACCTTCATGTAGTTGGGCGCCAGGCCGCGGTACAGACCCAGCAGCCCTTCCTGCCGCACGATGGAGCGGAAGAGGCCCACCATGGTGACGGGAGCGTCGCCCACGCTCGCCATCGACGCTGCGGTGGGTGGGGGGGGCGGGAGGGAGAGAAAGGGAAACGCAAACAGTTAGCCGAGTCCGAGACCCCGCGGTACTACGTACGTGTCTACGTAGAACTTCTTTTGCAAGTCAAGAGTCTCCCATTTGTTCATCGACGTCAACAAGTGCCTGGAATCTTCTCCAAGGTGGCCTCCATCACCCGGAGGCAGTACATTTTTTGTGGTATTGTTGCAAATTCTCAGAAGTGTTCACAGTTTTTTTTAAGCACCCTGTATAATGCAGCTTTTTTTGTTTGTTACACAAGTGTTACACACACACACACACAAAACGTCTCGGTGCGTCTCCATCTGTCTCCGTGCGCATGCGCAGGCGTGGTGGCGGCGCGTCTCACCGGCGGCCTGCATGCGCGTGCGAACGAGCGCCAGCGGGTAGCTGGCGAGCTGACCGCACGTGCAGGACACGGTGCCGCAGCACAGCAGCACCAGCACGCCGGGGTCGGCGCTCTCAGACTGGTGCCTCTGCAGCCACGCGTTCTTCAGCGTCTGCCGGGGAAAGGCACGGCGGAAACGGGCGTCACGACGGCGATCGCACGAAGGCGCCGTTCGCGAGGGTGTTTTTGGCCTACTCTTCCACACCGAGCGGATAACTTCGAAGGAGGCGTGCAGAAGCCGCCGGCTCAAACTCGACCGCACACGACCTGGCGATCGACTCGCTGCGGTGCACGCGATGAGAACAACTCGCATCGGGGCCCACAAAAAACGAATCTCCTCATTGCTGCGGCGACGACTGCTTCTACTGCCGTCGCAGTCTTTTGCCGAAGCCACCGATCATCGGTCCGTGTTCTCAGTATCCCTGCCATACCACAAACAGCCACCCCCTCTCATCATCAGCCGCTCTTCTCAATCTCTTTTGTCAGCACCAAGGCAATTGCGTTTCTCTCAAGGGCGTCAGGGTGGCGCAGTGGTTAGCTCTTGTGCCTCGCAGACGTAACCAGCCTGGGTTCGGATCTCAACTCGGGGAAACCGGTTTTTGTATGTTCTACATCTGTTCCACATGGGATTCCCTCTGGGTTGCCCAGAGTTTCTCCCCACAGCTGAAGTAACATACATTAAATAAAACAATTTATATTTTACCAGGTGTGGCCCGCTGAGCTGTACCAGCTCTTTTTTCAGAAGCGACCTGGCCAGCTCAACGAAGTGGAAATGTATAGCAGCAGCCACACACTCGTAAAACGCGTGATGTGAATTCTAAATGTGGCGGGAAAAACTGGGGGACCCGGAGAAAAGTCCACGCGACCACGGGCAGAGCGAGAGAGAGAGAGAGAAAGACACTGCAAACTCCAAACGCCGAGCAGACGGACCGACGGGGCGCGTTTGAGAGCCCGCGTTCGGTGGGGGACTGGCCGCTGTGTTCACAGCCGCTTCCTGGCAGGAGCCACGCGTTCCCGTCCCCGTCCAGGCACTCATCACATCCCCCCCCCCCCCACCTGCCCCCCCCGCCTCGTCACTTCATCCCCTTGTCATATCGTTCCCTACCCCAAAGCGTCCCAGGATTATTTTAGCCGCGCGTCCCTTCCCCCCGCCCCCCCCCCCCCCCGCGTGTCCACCCACCTCTGATGGGCTCGGCGTGCTGGTGCTGCTGTGAAGGTATTGCAGGTCGTTGTGCTGTGTGCGATGTTTCTACCAGAGTGGGGGGCTCCCCACCCCCCCCCCCCCCCTCTCTCTTCTAAAGCGGGCTTCTATGGACTCGATGCTGACCATGCGCAGCGGTGCCAGCTTGTCTCGGCCCAAACATTATTGCCGTCACGCACGAAGCGGCCCTTGCGTTTGGACGTGAATGCGAATGAATTCTGCGTGTCAACACGCGGTGCATCAGCTCTTCGCGTGTTCCGCGGGGTTCTTAAAAAGCCGTGTGGAAAGTCAAGAGGCTCGTATTGGAGTACGCTACGCGCATACGCGTGCAATGTGCGGTGTGCCGCCGCAGTAGGTGGTGCGTCTCATCAGTCATCCCCACCCCCCCCCCCCCCCCCCGTCGGCCAACGCCTGAGGGGGAGGGGGGGGGGGGGTCTGCCGCGTGACCCCCTCACCTCGTACACGGCCAGGTCGATGCCGGCGTAGGGGATGATGCCCAGCATGTTGGGCACGTAGCCCTTGTAGAAGGCGAGCATGCCCTCTCTGCGGAACACCTTCTTGGCGCAGTTCACCATGCCGTGGTACTGGCCCGTCTTGCCCAGCGTCAGACGCGTCTTGATCACCTGCGGACGGACGGACGGACGGACACGCCGGGCGAGGGAGGGAGTCGGTCAAGGGGCAGGGGGGGGGTCGGCGACCCGCGGCTCCGAATCCGCACGCGGCTCTTCGAGGAGCCCCTTCGCGACGTTATTTGTCAAGGGCCGGCGGCCGCCTCGCACTCGCCGCAACGGCATTGCGACTTTTATCTCGTTACCGAATTCGAAAGCTTTAAAACGGCTCCGCTCGTTGTTTTTTGTCGACCGAGCCCCTTGGTCACGGGCAAACGGCTCGTGGCAAAACCGAGGCGGCGGGGAGGATTGCACTGGTGGCGTGGAGACAGCCAGCCTGTGCCGTGTGCCGTGTGCGTGTGTGCGTGCGTGTGTGTGCGTGCGTGTGTGTGTGTGTGCGCGCCGTCGCCGCCGAGGTCGAGGGTGTTCCACGCGTGACCTGTTATAACGAGTATTACCATTACGTAATCGCTGAATATTTTTTCACTAAAGTCACACTGTCGTTTCCACCCCCCCCCTCCCCCCGTTGTGCTATCTGGCCTCTGGGCGTGTGGGGGCGTGGTGCGTGCGTGCGAGCGTGCGAAAGAACGGGGAGCGGTGGCGCAGCGGTTAGCACTACGAACCCGGTGATCCGTGTTCCGATTCCCGCTCACGGCCAACACCGGTGATGATTATGCTTGAACCGGTGCTGGGCCTCCCCTAGGTCGACTCGGCCTCGAATGAGTACCTGGTGCTGTCTGTAAACATCACCACTGGGGAGACAAAGGCGGCCGGGCGCGTTGCTGGCCATCCACCCCCCCCTCGTGTGCCGTGCTCGCTAACAGCACTTGCCCCAACAGTCTTTTTGTTTATACGGGGGACCTTTGTGTGTGTGTGCGCGCGAGAGGTGCGCAGTGAGAAGGGCGTGGTGGGCGTATGAAGGAGATAGGTGCAGTATGTGCAAGGTATTTGGAATATGAGAATGTGGGGTGTGTAGGACGGACTTGAGACGTGGCGTACGAAGTTGGCGCGTGCGAGGTGTGCGTGTACAAGGCACGCGTGTGAGGTGCGTGCACGCGAGGCGTGTGTGTGTGTGTGTGTGCATGCGTGTGCCAGGGTGGACCCTGACCTCGAGCGGGTAGATGATCGTCTGTGCCGTGGCGCCGGCGAGCGACCCGGCCACCAGCCTCTCCTGGATGCCCAGCGTCTCCTGCTGGGAGCCGATCAGCTTCTTGATCTGTGGGCGCAGGACGACAAAGAAAATAAATCGTACAATTCTAGATTTGAAGCTTTCGTGACTGCAAGGATCCATACTCTTTGGTTCTATTCGGTAAAGTCACGTAGGTAAAAAAATAAAACAACCGAGAGGATGGTTTCAAATTAAGCAATCATTGGAAAGATGTTCTAAATCAAACCAAACATGAAACTAATTTTCAATGGTACAGTATATTTTTTCAAGTAGTGGTATCCCAAACTTTCACAGCTGCTTATTTCTCTCCACACCAACATTATGTAAACTCCCCCCCCCCCCCCGCGCCTGGTCCATCATGGTCCATCATGTACCTCCTACGTACATCATGCTCATTTTTATGCTAATTCCTTTGTCAAAGCGTTTTGTTTCCTCCCACACAGCTTAAAGGACGCGACAGCACGGGCCCTTCACCTGATGAAGGCCACTTGTGTGACTTTACCGAATAGAACCAAAGAGTAAAAATCGTACACTCGCATGGATTGCGTCGCCACTTCAATCCCACGTGTATGGTGGCCGCGAGAGTGGGACCGCATCGCGCTCGGGTCTCCCGCCGTGCTCGCGACGCGCCAACCGTTGCGCCGCCAGCTCTCCACACACGCGCGAGATTACACGCACGAGCACGCACGCTCACAAAGATCAAACTTCCCCCCCACCCTCCTATAGCCTCAACGCACTGTTGGGGCAAGGTGCCGTTGGCGAGCACCCACGAAGGCCGGCGCGCTCACGCTCACACGGACACACTCGGGCGCGCCCACGCACCTGCTCATACGCCATGAACTTGATGGCCGACTCGGGCGCGATCTTGAGCGCATTGACGAGGTTTCCGCGCCACAGGGAGCGCACGCCGCCTTCGCGCAGCATGTGCCTCATGCCGCTCACCATGCTGATGCTGTTGGACCGCGACGCCTTCACCTGCACGCGCGCGCAGACACACGCACACCGACGCACACACCAACACACACGTGCACCAACACACACACACACGCACACCAACACACACGCACACAGACACACGCACACCAACACACACCGACACACACGCACACAGACACGCGCGCATAGACACACGCACACCAACACACACGCACACCAACACACACGCACACCAACACACACGCAAACGCATTCGCACACGCACGCAGACGCACGCACGGACGGGCAACACCCAGTTAGCACGGTAGCCCACAGAACACGGCTTGGCCCCGCAAGCACCTTTACCCAGTCACTAACAAGGTGAAGGCGCGGCCCTGCAAGTTCTTGCTCATGCCACTGCTGGCGGAATATTTTTTCGACGGCTCGACAACAAACGCCGCGATTTCTACGGCGCCGCTTCCACACCTCCCCCCCACCCCCCACTCCTCTTGCTCCTGCTCACCTGCATGATGACCTTGAGGCGGTCGAGTGGCGCGGTGCAGGTGCGGGAGACGGCGCCGGCACCGCCGCCGGCCACCAGCTGCCTCCACCACATCCCCGTGAGACGCTCCTCCTCCGTGAACTCGTCCGGCACCGAGAGGCTCTCCCCCACGTCCAGGATCTGCCGGGGCGAGGCGGCGCATCGGAATCGTCAGGAATATTTACTTGTCCTGGGAGGAATCCGATGAGCTGTGAAGCTCTTTTCCAGCAGCGAGGCGGCGGAGGCCAGGAGGGGGAAGGTGGCCGGGAGAGTCGGGAAGGCGGAGGAGGATGCAGCGGAGAGACTTAGAAGAGATGGAGGAGGTGGCGAGGGAGTTAAAAGAGGAGGTGGAGGAGGTAGAGAAGAGTGAGAATAAAGGAAGAGGAGGTGATGGAGAGTTAAAAGAGGAGCCCGCCCTAGAACGTCCGAATGTTGCAATGTATAATTGCGAGGACGTGGAATTAAAAATATTTCATTTAACGAAAAAAAAAAAAAGAGGCCGTGGAGGCAGAGATGAGTAAGAAGAGACGGAGGAGGTGTGAGCACGAGGCAGGGCAGAGATTTGGCAGAGAGACGGAGGAGGAGGAGGAGGTGGACGAGGCGGGGGTGGAATGTGGCGTCGGTTCGACGCGGGGAAGGACGTGAGCGGAGCGAGGAAGCGAGCGGGGCCACGAGCGGCAAAACAGGCAGGAAAGCGGGGCGGGGTGGGGGGAGGTTCAACCGGGGTCACGGCCTAGCCGGGGGGGGGGGGGGGGACCAGGGGACCAAAACAAGGGGGCGGCAGAGAGGCCGATGAGAACGACGATGACGCACGTGGCGGAGCGGAGAGGTGAAGCAAGCGGTGGCGGAGGAACAGAATCGGGGGGGGGGGGGGGGGGGGGGGGGGGGGGGGGGGGGGGGGGGGGGGGGGGGGGGGGGGGGGGGGGAACGCAAACAAACGACACCAACATAGCAGCTGCGGTTCGACAAGAGTGGCCGGCAACCAAAACAACAAGGGGTGGCATTTTTGTTGCTGTTCGAAATCGGTCAAAGAAAAAAAAAAAACCTCCCTCAATATTTCAAGAGCCGCAGTGGTGGTGAATACGAGACGGTGGTGGCCCGTAATAAATAACGTCACAAAGCGGCCGTTCAAGAGCCGCGCGCGGCTTCCGGAACCCATGCTTTGCCGACCCCTGGGTTAGACGGAGCTTATCGTAGGATTCCATCGGCACCACCATCATCATCATCGTCAGCAGCAGCAGAAGCAGCAGGAACATGCCAGGAAAACCAATGGTGAGTGTGTGCGCGCGCATGCGGTTCTGTATGTGCCCGGCTGTGTGGGGACCCACACAGCTGTATGCTTGTGTCGAATCAGCGCTGTCCTCCAGACAACAGTCTCGTCCCTTCACCTGATGAAGGCCGCTTGTGTTGTGGCCGAAACGTCGTGAGAATATTATTGCGTTATTTTATTTTATCAATTTATTATTTTATTCTCATTCTACCTGGTGACTTCACCGAAAGAACCAAAGAAGATTTAAATGAGCACCTAGCGCTGTGTACAAACATCGCGATTGCCGCTCGGGAGACGAAGGCGGCCGGGCGTGGTGTTGGCCACCCACCTGCCCTCCCCCTCTCGTGCGCCGTGCCGGCCTTCATAGGTGCTACTCGCTAACAAGCACTTGCCCCCAACAGTCAGTTGAAGGCTATACGGGGGGATCTCTGCCTGTGTGCGTGTGCGTCGGGTGTAAGGCGCTCACCGTGGAATGCTTCCAGTATCCGATGATCTCCTTGATGTTGCAGGCCGGGTGCAGCAGGTGGTAGTCGCGCCACTCGTCCCAGCCCACCATCATGGTGCCGTCTCTGTCCATGCTGCAAACACGTCGGTGGGTATCGGAGGGGGTGGGGAGGGGGTGGGGGGAAGACGGCGTGAGTGAATCCGAACCACCAACTCGGGCACAACGGATCAACGGGCGCCATCGCCCAACGCCGACCAGGCCGCGGCAATCTGACAGTGACTTAAGAGGCGACCCCCCCCCCCCCCGACCCCACCGCCCCCCCGCATCTCATTTCATAAAACATCGTCACAAGTCCAGTCACAAGCTCGGGGCTTGGCTCCAGCCAGGGCTTGGAACAAAGCGAACTACGGTTGTCGTCCTCGCAGCAGCAGCAGCGGATTTTGGCTAACCATTGAAGAAAGATGGCACGCCAATTCGCGCATCTTCGGATGCGCTTCTGCGGTCGTCTGGAACCCTCTTCCGTAACGATGTTGGGAAGCCACTGGTAGCAATGCGCTTAGAAATCATCTTGTTTGAAAATTAACTTCTTTTAAAACTGTTTTTTTTGTGTTTAGTTTGTTGTCCTTCCCCCCCACCCCACCCCCGCACCTCCGATTAGCACGGTTGGCTACGTACGGCACGAGATAAGTTCAACGTGCACACAGAGAACTGTGCGTAAGTTGAGCCCGGCTCTGAGCACGACCCACAGCCACCGCACGTCTCGTACGGTAATTCTCACGGCTTCCCGTTTCCGATCATCGTTCCACGGACGTCGAGGCGCACGGGCGGTGGCGGAGGCCCAGCGGTGGAGCTTTTGCCACTTTTTATTTTATTTCCCGGAGGTTCACGGTTCAAGCCCGGCTTGCTGCCTCGGTCAACGCCGCCGGGGCGCGTTAACCGCAGATGCGACACGCTGAAGACCCCGCGACGTTATTCGTAGGAAGCCACCCTGAAAATTACTTAATTCGGGTGCAGCCACACAGCAACTTCGCCCCCCCCCTACTGGAAGACTTTCCCCATCTGCGAAAACGTGCCGCCCTCCTTCGTGATGAACCTCGCGCCGACACACACACACACACAAACCCCGCCCCCCCCCCCCCCCCCCACCACGCAATGTAACAAAAAAAATGAGAATGGTAATGATAAAGGCGGTCGGGGCAGATGGTTCAACCGCTCCAGTTGCGCAACCATCTCCTCCGCGTTGGCACAGCGGCAGCGTCTCGCATCGCCGCATCTCCACGCTGGCACGGCGCCCCACGGTCACACAGGCGACGATTGCGCCCTACCCCCCCCCCCCTCTTCCCTCCCCCCCTTTAGCCCCTCGCTCCTCAAGGGCGGTTACTCAAGAGCAGTGGGAGGCTATCGCTGCCCGCGGAACGACGCGCCTGCACATTCCTCGGCGTTTCTCAACGACGCCGGCAAATTGCTAATTAATTAATTATTATTTTTTGCTCTTGTTATTTCGTGGGTTCGGTTTGTCGCCATAAACGGAGGCCCGGCTTGAGCCCGAGTGAACGTGATCTCGTTCAGCAGCGGCAGCAAGGGGGCGCGCGGGAACCTCTTGCCGCCGACGGGGCCAACGCGCGCGACAATATTCACGCAGCCGGGAGCCGCGGTGAGACGCGTGGACACCGGTGCGCCCCGCGCCTGCTCAGCCGTGCAAATTAAAAAACACCAAAACCTGGAGCGGCCCGGGTGACGTTCACGTCTGGCTCTGCGGCCTAGGATAGCGAGGACGAGCTTCCGCGGATTTTTTTTTCCTGTTTCGAGTAAAGTTGTTATTTGATTGTAATTACTGGCGAAACGTCGTACTCAGATTGTGAGTGTTGTCGTGGGTTTACTCTCCGCCACACCGGATTTGCTGTACTAGTAACGAATTGGCACGTTCTATTTACGTGACAAAGCCTACTAAGTGGCTGTGTCGGGTGGTGGTGGGTTTAACAAAACATTTATATATTTACGCAATTTCATCCAAAAAAAACCCGTGTTATGGATGATATTGGTCGCGAAAGCCTACGACGTGTTAAACCCTTGTATCTAAAGGCCGAGACATTAGCTGCCTTCTCTTTTGTCTATTCAGATCTGCAAGCCAAATAGGCTTTGAGCCTGGTTAGTACTTTAACAAAAGGCTTGCATGGGGAGTACCATGTGCTGTTAGGCTGTGAGGTAGACAGGAGCTGGCAATACAGCCAATGGGATTATCCAATTCTTGAATGTATCCATGCCGAGCTAGAGCTGCGGGTGTTTCCCCAATAGGTGACGCTTTTCAGAATAAATGGGAGTCCTAATCATTATTGTTATGTACACACAGCCCTGAGCATCCGGTCTTACATAAGCTACCTTTGTTTCAATAGACTCTTGTATTTATTTATAGAGTTGGTGATTGCGTGTGTAATCACCTCTTATCCACTACATACCTGCTTAATTGAGTAAAGCTCAGTTTGCCCTTCCTGCTAGCTTGCCTGCCTGCCTGCCTCTTATTTGTGAATGTAGATTACCAAGCAGATACAGATTAGCACTGCGTGTCCCAATACCAGTTCACCACTGAGCTGGGCATTATCATGATTATTATAGGCAGAGTTAATCTCAGTTTGCTGGTTACAACACAGTGATGAAAATTGCACATTACTTTGACGAGAACCAGACCAGCCACAAGACTACCAGCTGCCGACTTCCGACGAGACTGCACTAATTTTGGGGTGGAACAGTTGCGCAGTGGTTAGCGTGCCCTGCTACGAACCCGGCGACCTCGGTTTGATTCTATTCTATAGTTTGACAACGCAGAGCTGACCGCCGGTGCCAATTGGCATTTGAACCGGTCCCGGGCAACCCCCACTCGCCTTCACCAACCCACATCGACCAGCGTGGAGAATTATGCACATGCAGTTTACCACTCGGCCGGATTATTCTGCAACATATACCGTATGTTGAACACGAACATTTATGCTGATGTACATAGACCTTTGCGAACCCACCACTCTTTCACGAAGGGGCTGCCGCCCATTCCGTGCCAGTCGTGTGACCATACTTCACCACGCCAGTCGGTGCGAGCTGTTGAAGGTGGCTTAGGGAGCACCAGGATCGATTCAGATACTGCTTCACCACTGGCGTTGGTCGTGTCCGGGAATCGGATTACCCTCGGGTCGCCGGGTTCACGGGCCCAGCGCGCTAACCACCGTCCCCGGACCTCGTGCGTGTGGAGCGGCAGTGTAGCGGTTAGCGGGCTGCGCTACGAACCTGGCGACACCAATGACGATTGTCTGAACCCGTCCTGGGCCTACTCCCCTAGGTCGACTCAACCTTAAATTGAGTACCTAGTGCGATGCATAAAAACATCGCCACTAGGGAGACAAAGGCGGCCAAGGGTGGTGCTGGCCACCCACCCCCTCGTGTGCCATTCTGGCCTTCATTAGGTGTTCGCTAACAGCACTTGCCCCAACAGTCCGTTGCAGGCTATATGGGGGATCTTTGCCTTTGTGTGTGTGAATCGTCTGCAAAAAACGGTCTACGTTTTATCTGCCGCCCGGTTTCAAATTGGCCCTGTGCTGGGGCAGCGAAACACAATCTCTCGTTTACTGCTCACACACACACAGGCACAAGGCGCTCTCTGATGCTGACACAGCAGCTATGAAGTACTCCTTGTTCAGTAGAACCCAGTGACACTCCCCTCCCTCCCTGCACAAGCGGGTAAATCATGGGGGGTAGAGAGCAAAAAGGGTGGCAACTTGGCAGAGAGATGAGGGTAAAACAAGGTGAAGTGTGTGGGTGGACGAGGGTGTTCGCGGATCTTTCTCTGATGGGAGAGCCGGAGAGAATCTGGCTGGCAAAACTACTAACCAACTCAACATTCCCTCTTACCTAACGGGAGATTCTTCCAATTAACACACGCACCAAACCTATCCCATCAATCACAAACGTGGGTGCAAAAAATATTTAAGAAATCAGCCACCTCCTCCTGAATCTACAATTTTGCAAGACATGAGCTTGTCAATGCACGTGAGCAGCCGTGCTAATCGGAGGTGCCGGGGGTAGGACAATAAACTAACTACTAAAAACTGTCCTAAAAAGATGAAGTTTGTCGACATAGATGATGATTTAAAAGTGTATAAGCTCCCAGTGGCTTCTTAAGATCGGAAGGAAGAGCGTTCCAGACGGTCGCAGAAGCGCATCTGAAAATGCGCGCCGCGGTGAACACCGTACTTGTTCGACGGCAAATCAAAAGCCGCCGCTGCTGCTGCTGCTGCGAGGATGACCGCAGTTCATGTGACGTTTGACGCTCCTTGACCAGGTCAGCAAATGTACCGTGGGTTCATTTGTGGCTGACGCACTTTGCGTGTGTAATGAGTGTCAGAGGCCGGCCAGGGAGATTACCGGCAGCTCGCGTGCGGTTAAGCCACTGCGGAGAGAAGGCACCGATTACCGAGCGGAAAGCGCGCGGACACCGCTGCACCAATGGCGGTGCGGAGCGGCGACACACTCTCTTACGTGAACAAAGGCTGCCGCAGTAAAAACTAAATCGCGCAATTGGCGCCGAGCGGAATAAAGAGAAACATTACCAACGCGTTATTTAGATTTGTTTTAGGCGCTGCGGTTAACGCTCTCTGTCGCGCTCTCCTCTCTGGCGCGAGTTAAACTTTGGACTTTTCCAAAGAAAAAAATTAAAAAATTTTGGGGGCCCAATTTCAGTTGCGCAAGAATACGTCTCTGCCGTAATTCGTTGCACAAACGACATTGCCCAAGCCGGGAGAAGTGCGCGAGGCAGCTCTTCCCGCCCCTCCCCACTCCCTTATCGGTTTTCAACATCGTCCGCATCGCCCCGACCCCCCCGCCCCACCTCCACTCGTCATGGCAGGGGTCAACGCTGACATCACGCTCGCTCGTATGGAACAATTCCATTATTCGTCATTATTTCTGGGGTGTATCGGTTCAATGCCAAAGGGTTCCCCCCCCCCACCCACCCCCACCTTTTCCATCTCGTTCACTACCGGTCTCTCGTTTGCATTATGGATTGTTTCTATCGGTGTAAAGGTGGTAAGGTTTGTTTAGTTTCTCATCCTATTGCCGTTGTCTTGGACTGCGTTGCGAGATGCAGTTTTGCATGAACGTCACCGCATAACAAAATATTATTATTAAGATTTAACAGAGGCTTCGCGTACAGTTCTCACGAACTCTTAATCATAGAATCTCACGCTCGCGATTCAGTGCGTGTATAAACTGGCGCAATAATTGATTGTGATCGCTCGATCGAAGCAAAGTTAATATTCTAAATCATCGAAGCCATAATCATCATCGTAACAACAATGCCACGAGCATCATTATCACCGTCATCATAATCGTCGTGCAGTCATCCATCCACTGCTGGATGAATGCCCACCTCCCCTCCCCCCCCCCCCGCCGCCGCCTTTTCCCCATCCTCACCCTCCAGTTCTCACACTGCTGCCGTGCACTCCCAACCCATCGCTCACTCACGACAGAAACCTCAACATCCTCACTTTGTCCTGTCTCCCACCTCCTGCCCGCCCCCCTATGCCCGGGGGCAGCCGTTCTCGTCCAAGACGATCTAGCAAGGCACGCAAAGAAAGACTTACGAGCATTTTCCTGCCCGCGCATCGGATTTACGAGCAATTATTTGGGAAAACATCACCCGCGGAACTCATCTGCGCGCGATGTTTGTGCCGGTAAAGCCCCCCCCCGCCCGCCCCCCCCCCCCCCAGCGCCCTGACCTTTAGTTGAGCAGCTCTTCCTGCCGAGGGTCACGCAGCCAGAGCTGCGGCGATGGTCGTGTTAACGGGGCAGGAAATGCCACCAACACAATAAGGGCAAGCTAGCAGCAGAGGGACGGCTAGCAACGCACGTAGCCCAGGCGTTGACGAATGACCCGTCAAAAAATAGTTGTTACCGCCCGAGAGACGTCAGGAGAGGGTTGGTGCGAGGACAAGGGGTTAGGGATATATGCGACTGAATGTTAACGTCAGGCTTGGAATAATGGCCGTGTGTTGGAGCTAATGTCCGGGGCTAATGCCACCGAAGGCTGTTTACTGTTAATGCGAAAGCCATGGCAAATGCGCAAAAAATATTATAGGGGGGGGGTTAACGCGAGCATGAAGGTAAATGTTAGGGACAGGACGAACGTGATTATTAGCGAGGCGAGTACGGTTTTAGTCGTGACGTTAAGTGTTTGAGCCAGCAGCGGTTTTGTGCACAGTGCTGCAAACCCACTCTCAGATTTCCCACTACTTTACGAAGGGGGGGTGGTGGGGGGGGAGGGAAGAGGTAGAGAGCGTGGTGGTGGTGGTGGTGGTGAACGTCGTCAGCTCACCTCCCCAGGATCTTCTCCGCCTGTTCCAGCGTGATCCTCACGCCCAGCGTCTCCAGCGACTGCACGAGCTCCGAGGCGTCGATGCGCCCTGCGCAGACGCACGTGGCACACCGCCCCACAAAGTTAACGCGGCCGTTGGCGCTTGTGCACGCCCGCGCGCACGCGCGTGTACGTACGTACGTACGTACGCACGCACGCACGCACGCCCTGCGTGCACGAATATAGTTACAAAATAGTAGCTACCGAGCGACAACAATCAAGAACGATAACTTAAACAAACTCCGAAATTAACAAAGTAAAGTCATCAAATGCTGCGGCGGAGAATGCACGGCAATTTCCTGGAAAGGTTAGGGCAATGCAACGTGGCATTAGCGCATTGTTGATGTCGCTGATGGCAAGGGAACTGTGACGAGTGGGACACGTGTATGCGTATTTGTACAGAAAGGGCAGTTTGTGTGCGTGTACGTTGAACTTCTTTCGCACCTCGCCAACCGTGCTAATTGGAGGTGCGGGGGAAGGAATGGACCAAGTTTCTAAAATCCCCACCGCTCCCTCCTCCTGTCTCCAGCCGTATGAACGGGTAGGGGCTCAGTTAGTCGAGTGGCAGGTCACGTGTGGTGGGGTAAAAGTGTCGGTACTCCCAGTTCGTGGGGGCGTATTCGGTCGTATCAGTGTCCCTTGCCGAGAGTGGCTGCCCTAACATCACTTCCTAGAAGGGTAGTGGAGGACACGGGGACCCATTTAGACTGAAAATAATGGAATATTTTCATGACAATTATGATGATGATGATGATGATGCGTGAATCGTTAACTCCTTGCTGAAGGACGATTGAACACAAACAGCTCTGATGTTGTGGACATTTATCAATGCTGTGTTTTTCTCAGAATGTACATTTTAACTCACGGTCAGGAGCACCACTATAATTCCTCCAGTGATGTCGCTCCCGGAATTTTTTAGCAGGCCAACACAGCGACATCAAGACGCGCACATAACGGCACACCTGTCCATCACTTTGGAGTCTGTCTTTACTCTTGGGTTCTTTCGGTAAAGTCACGTAGGCAGAAAAAATAATAGATCGCGACGACGTTTCGATGACAACAACAAGCGACCGTCTTTCTTCTTTTGTTTACTCATTTAACCCGGCTTCAAAGCCACTAGAAACTAATAAACCCGTGACCGCTCGGGCTAACGCAGCCCAGGTACGGCATCCCTTAATGCATTACAAGCCGTTAGGTCCGTTGACCGCGTCGCGTCTGCCGCTACATCTCACCGCTAAACGCCCGAGCCCCGGGGGCCAACTGCTCTGCGCCGGTCGCCATTCCCCGGGCCCCCCCCAGGGCACAATACACACTCAGGGGTAGGGCGGGAGCAAATCGAGTCGTGCCATTCGGCAGCACCCGTGGCCGCGGTGTTTACAATCAAGTTAAAACCGGATTCGGGCAGACGCCCGAACAACTAAAAATTACGAAGAGCGACAATCGGGGGTCACGTTACGGAGCAAGGCGGCCGCGGCAGGTTCAGGGGAAGTGGGCGGGCCCTTAAATTCCACCCCACGCAACCCTCTGCGAGATGCAACGGAAGGAGGGACCATCGGAAGTCATTGTGTTTTCACCGGCACATAGCCCCCCCCCCCCCCCCCCCCGTTGTCCACCACGGGGTAATAACACCGCCTTCCGCGAGGTCAGAACCACGCTCCTCGCCTTCGCTAAACGTGCACTGACCAGGGTGAGGAAGTATGACGCGGATTGACCCTTACCAGCCCACACGGCAGCGTGGTCCTCATTCACCAGCCGACCGACAAAACGGCCGTAAATGCACACCACACCGATCGCCGCAACCTCACAGGACGTGATTGGGGGGGGGGGGGCGGGATTGGGTTCTCCACGGCCTACTTGGAGGAGGTATTTTAAATAAAATTGGGCCAACAGTTCGAAGCAGAGGCTCAGTGCGCCAGTGCGGCCGACACCAGAGGACTACAAAACACGGCTATCGTCGCCTGATGCAGTCGCCGGGGTTAAAGGCCTTGCGTGAACCGTGATGCTGGTGCAGTAGCCGGGGTTAACGGCCTTGTGTGAACCACGATTCTGGGCGCGTGCTTCTCGCTCGTCCGTTCCGTACGTGCTCGCGCGCACGCGCGCCCACCTCCGCGCGGCGCCGGCTCTTCATCTCGTGTGACAATCTACAGCTACCCCAACCACCCGACGGCCGCTAATGCAACGGGGAGGCTCGGACTTGTCTCTCTCCTTTGTCGTAACTCGGGTGCGGCGGCGGGCGGTGGGGACAGGTTTAAGCAATGCGCCGCCAACAACCGCCAACAACCGCACCCCGCGCAGCACACCGAGGTTTTCTCAAAGCACCACCCACCCACAACCGACCCCCCACCCGCCCACCCACGCCCCCCGCCACAACCCACCCACCCACCACCCCCGGTGTAAAGAACAGCAAATCGGTGGAAACGCCACGCGTCGTGAAAATCGAATTAAATTAAGTGGGGTCCAAGCGTTTTTTTTTTTGCTTTGCAAGCGAACGAACGAGATGGGGGGGAGAGCTGGCAGGCAGACGAGTCACGTAGCCAAGAGTTAGAATTCCGGAGGGTAATTTAATTGAGCACAATGTAAAAAGGTTTCAGGTCGCACTCAAACAGGCGCGCGAACGCCGATGCGATCCGGTCAAAAGGTTCCGCGTCAATTCACGACTTTTGCGTTTGGCGCGATCGCTCTTACAGCGACGGGCTCTATCGCTCAGGCGCAACGCTACGCACACAAGTCTCCAGCAGATTCACAGAAGGGGCCCGATGTTGCCATGTGCAATCCAATTCAAGTAAGGCGCAATTAACTTCCTTAATTTGTAAAATTTGGACCGCGACGCTGGGAACGCAACAACGGCCTTGTGCTTTCCTGAACGACGCTACGGGGATCATGAACATCGACTGTGAAGCAGGTGGTGCATACGCGTACGATCCGATGACGTATCAAGACTGGAAACTTTAAAACTGATTTTTGTGTTTTTAGTTTGTTGTCCTTCCCCCCCCCGCACCTCCGATTAATTAGCAGGGTTGGTTACGTGCGAAAGAAGTTTAATGTACATGCACACTGCCCATAGACTCAACACTGCCCGTAGACTCAACACTGCCCATAGACTCAACACTGCCCATAGACTCAACACTGCCCATAGACTCAACACTGCCCATAGACTCAACATTGCCCAGACTAAACACTGCACCTCCGATTAGCACAGTTGGCTACGTACGGTGCTAAAGAAGTTCAACGTACATACATACATAGACCAACACTACCCATAGACTCAACACTGCACCTCCGATGAGCACGGTTGGCTACGTACGGTGCGAAAGAAGTTCAACGTGCGTACGTCATCGGAACGGAGTCGGGAGATAACCCGACGATGGCGTACGTCGTCGGAATGGGAAAGGGGTAAAAAAAAAAAGGGATTCCGCCAAGTAGCCCTTGTGGTGTATTTTAGCTTTGTGCCATCGGGAGAGAGAGGGGAACGGCCCTCACCGTCATTCTTCTTGTCCAGGCTCTTGAAGGCGAGCTTCAGCTTCTTCTCGTGGTCCTTGAGGTAGCGCACGAACTCGTCGAAGTCCAGCAGGCCGTCTTTGTTCTTGTCACCGGCCTTCAGGATTTGCTGTGGGCAACAAGGGGGCGGTAAAAATGATCACACGCGCACACACAGGTGCTTGTGCCACGTTGATCTTGTAAAGGAACCAAGCGTCACACGAACTCCGGTCATCTTCGCAGCGGCGTCTTTTGGCCAAGCCGTTCGACAAAGACTGTGGTCACCGCATCCCGCGCTTTTGGATGCGCTTCTGCGGCCGTCGGGAACGCTCTCCTGTAATCCGATATTAGGAAGCTACTGGAGCTGTGCACTTCTAAATGATCTTGATTCATTAATTTAGAACTGCTTTTTTGTGTTTAGTTTGTTCTCCTTCACCCCGGCGCCTCCGATTAGACAGAGAAAAAACACACACACACAATGCAACTGGTATCGGCCAACACATTCCAATGCTGAAGAATCACCTGCAAATGACTCAGCTGGGATCACACAACAGCAGCAGCAACGGTCATGTCCATCGCCTCATGCAAAAAATTTGGCAGGGCCCTCGAAAAAAAGTCTATGAGACTTTGCTGGGTAAACTAACATAATAATTGGAGTAGAATAATAAATCAGGCCAATTGTTACCATCACTCACTGCTTGCCTCCTGGGATATCCTGCATTTCACCTGTCAGCCCCGGCAAATATTTATTTTGGATAAAAAATTACGAGAGAAATACAAATTTTCGTCGACTGCCAATCAATGGTGACGAACAATTTTTCCAAACTTGCCGGCGGAGAGTCCGAGTAATCGCGGTGCGCACGCGCTCGTTACGTTATTATTCTTCTTTGGTTCTTTCGGTAAAGTGACGTTAGAATGAGAATAAAATAATAAATTGATAAAATAAAATAACACAATAATATTCTCACGACGTTTCGGCCACAACACAAGCGGCCTTCATCAGGTGAAGGGATGAGACTGTCTGGTAGGACTACTGTCTGGTAGGACAGTCTCATCCCTTCACCTGATGAAGGCCGCTTGTGTTGTGGCCGAAACGTCGTGAGAATATTATTGTGTTATTTTATTTCATCAATTTATTATTTTATTCTCATTCTACGTGACTTTACCGAAAGAACCAAAGAAGATGAATCATTGCAGTCACGAAAAGCTTTAAATCGAAATTTACGTTATTATTATTATTAGCGTCGTCGTTAACGTGAATTTGTTTAGGTTCACTGGGGTACACGACCTGACTTCGCGTGTAACACCCTGCACCGTGTAACACCCTGCACCGGAGTGCTCTCACACGCAACCCGAGAGCAGTCACGCGGGGAGGGGGTTGACATTCTAAAATAACCACCGCCGTCATCGCCACCGCCGCCGCCACCCGCCACATGGGATACGCCCGGGCCTCGTGCTGTAATCTCAGAAAGGCCACCCCCGTCCCGCCCCCGAAATCTCGTTCCGAGCGCCAGCGACTTGAAATAGCGTCGTGGCGACCCCGTGGATTCCGGGTTGCGACCGAGCAAGGGTTGAAAACAAAAAAAAATTTACTCATCACGGTTGCAGAGAACATGAAACCAAAGGCCATGGGGCTACGTGGCCAGCAACACGCGGCGCCATTGAAGGTGTGGTGCATGTAGAGTTAATTCGGTGGTATAATTGAAGGTTAATTATTATTAGAAGTTGGGGGGGGGGGGGGGGAATTCCCAAGTGGAGAAATGGGAAGGAAGGTGAAGAGGATAGGTGTTGTGACCTGGTGGCTGAGTGGGTGAGTGGGTGAATGTGCGTGTGTGCGAGTGGGTGGGCGGGTGTGTTGTTGTGAACTGCGCTGTAATAAGAATAATAACCATTATAAACATAACATATTATAATTACATTCAAAGTACGGATGACACGACAGTCCGGGAGATCTGAAGCCTCAACGTGGGCGACCGTAGGGAGACACGTGATGATGGTGGTGGTGACAGGTAATGAACGTGGCACGTTTATTTCTTGCGAGCGATCTGGTGGCCAGCGGGCCGCTCGTGATGCGTATTTATTTATCTCTCGCTGGTGTCGTGGACGAGTTAAAAATAATTATGTTGGGGTGGGTGTTGCGTGCTACAGTCCAGAATGGATCGTTTGTAAACAAAGTTGAACTGGGCCACACGAGCAACTACTTTGTATTTTAAACTCAGGACCAAACTGTTCCCTGTCGTTGAGTGCAGAATTTCCACCACCGCCACATGACAGCACACAGAGGATGAACCGGATCTTACAATGGCGTTTACACGTATTGCATGGGGACCCGTTTGGATCGATTTTATTTCACCTCGAAATCTAAAAACGGAATCGGGAAAGTTTGCGGACGCGCAAGTGCTGCAATTATGTAACGTGTATGAGGACATTCAGAATGCGTTCTACCCAGGTCACAATATTTTCACAAGATTAACAAGGTGGTTTGGTTCTAGATTTGAAGTTTTCGTGACTGCAAGGATTCACACTCTTTGGTTCTTTCGGTAAAGTCACGTAGATGAAAAATAATAAAATGAAAATAATAAAATCAAAATAACTCAATTAAATCACGACGTTTCGGGCGCAACGCAAGCGTCCGTCATCAGGTGGGAAAGCATTGGTCTGCTGCTGATGCAGGCTATTTTAAAAGGTTTTAAATGGGTGTAGCCCAAGGGTCATGACCCTTGCGGACCATGCTTTCCCACCTGATGACGGACGCTTGTGTTGCGCCCGAAACTTCGTGATTTAATTGAGTTATTTTCATTTAATTATTTTCATCTAAGTGACTTTACCGAAAGAACCAAAGAGTAAGGTGCTTTGGGTTTCCCTGGTGGGTAAATTGTGCCTAATAAACACTACAATTCGCTTTACTTACCCAGGAAAGCATCCCCCAAGTCTCTATCGGACATCTGTGAAAACTACATTTGTGAAAAAGAGCTTTGTAGCTGATCGGATTCCTCCGGTATAAATAAATATGATTTAGATACTTGTTTCAGGAGGGGCCCCTGCTACCGCTGGGATGTTTGTGGCCAATATCATGCGTGAGAAGTTTCGATTCGCGCAGGAGCCCGGAGAAAACCCCACCCACGCACGCTAATCGGTGGACATCCAGAGCGCTATACAGATTGGATAATTAAAAAAACCCTGCATCTATCGCTCTATTGCCATCTCTTCATCGGCTTGCAGTCTATAAGCCTGCAACACAACACCTGCTATTCCCTGTTGTTCTTCCAACCCCCAAGTATTAACCAGGCTCAGAGCCTGATTGGCTTCTGCAAATCTGGTGTTCTCACAACCAAATAATTTTATCTGCAAGGCCGATCCAACGTTGATTTACAACACCGCAAAAGGTCAAGGTGCAGCCAGGAAATATCTCATTTGGTAAAAGGGTCTCCCCCCCCCCCCCAGAGGCCCAATCTTGAGAGGGTATTTGGCCTACTCTTCTACACTGGCCAGATATCTTGGAAGAGGTCAGCGTACCCCCATTGATACTGCATGCTGAGTGGACAGAGGAACCGGGAGGGGGGGGGGGATTTAAAAAACCTGCACCACTGACTGCCACGGCAGCGAGGATGGAATCGAATCGGCGACCTCTGGGGGTTCCGAGTCCCAGCGGGCCCAACCGTGACGTCACTGCAACAGCGTCCGCAAACGCACAAACACAGCGCAGAGTCGGCAAAAGCAAGGGACAATAATATTTTTCCCCGCGATTCGGTGAAAAACAAGGGGCCGAAACGGGGCAGAAGGTGAACAAAACAGGCCGCGCATTCCCCCGCCCCCCACCCCGCCTTGTTGTGGCTGGCGAATGAGAAAAACAATCGTCCCGAAGACAAATAAACAAGGTGAAATATCGACAATGCACGTCAGAAAAAAGTGAACAACACACATGGGGAGGCTGTGTGTGCGGTGGAGGGGGCGGTGAAAAGCGGACGACTCCCGAATAATTTTTGTTTGCCAAACTGCTGCAACGCTTGCGTCAGACTGCTCTCTCGCACTGGGTGATAAAACAGCAGGAGCGACGCTTGCTCCCGGGTTTTTCAAAATTATTATTTTGGCGGGGTGGTGAAAAGCCTCGTGATGTCTGTGGCCATACTTCACCGTTGTGGTCAGGTCAGCGCGAGTCGCCGAAAACGCCGAGTGACTGCCTAGCTGCTCAAATCTGCACTGTCGCGGTAACTGGTGCTCGTCTCGCATTTACAGCCCTGGTGCCAGCGTCCGTGTGTGGCCATACTTCACCACCCGTGGTCAGCGCGAGCTGCTCAAGTCAGGGACGCACGCACGATGCCGGAGCACGGACGCACAGGTGCTTATCTCCCATTTACAAGCCCCGGTGCCAGTGGTGGAAATTCCACATTTCTTATGGCGCTGTGGGCAAGTCTATCCACAGGACAACCACCGTTTACCTCTCTACAAAGTTGTACTCCCCATGCTCACCACCCCCCCCCCACCGAGGGAAGGATGATGGGCAAGTCAATAACCCCCCCACCGATCAGTATTTGAACTCGCAAACCTTTTGATTCGGAGCCAAGCCCTCCGCCTCCGAGCCACACGTGGCCAGATTAAAGTCAAGCAATTACTTTTAACTCAATATGAAAGCAATTTTTATTTTACCAGGTAAGGATCACTGTGCTATGTGGCTCTTTCTCAGAAGCGATGTGGCTTTCACAAATGATAGCTCAACAAAGTGGCATATCACGTTGACAATGTACAGCAGCCAATAACTCTGTAAACACGTGACATTGGCTCTAAACGTGGAGGGAATAAACGAAGGAACTGGAGAAAAATCCACGTGACCACGGGAAGGCACACGCAAAAACTCCAAATACACAGCAGGCGTTAGGGTCGGGGTCGAACCCACGACCTCCTGTTTACCAGGCGAGGTAGTTAACATCCCGCCACCTCGGCACCCCCACCATTCTCTGTTGCCCACCGTTTTGCCCGGCAGCCCGATGACAACCTGTTGGTGCGTGATGGTGGTGGCGGGTGGCTGGTGGTGATGGTCACCCTTCCAAACACAATCCAGGCTTCAACCCTGCTCAGCCTCCGAGAACTCCGATGAGATTGGGTTTTGTCAGCCATCAGTGAATGAGATGCAACACAGATGGCAATGAGACTGTGCACCGAGTAGTCCTGCCACGGGGATTACAGCCTCTGTGTTTGCAAAGATTATCGCCGAATAGGTGACCGTGGCTCACGATGAAGAAGTTAAGCCAACACCACTTAAGTGGAAAGTTGAAGATTGATTGTCCGTCCTGCCAGGAAACGGCAGTGACCGAGTGGTTGCGCAAAAAAATCAGCTGGCCACTCTTCAGAAACAGCCACTCATCGTCGGAGAAGAGTAAATTAACAACTTCGTTATTTCGTACATTTGAGTCTTATGGCGGGACCCCGGGGTCCCACATAAACGGAAGCCAAAACCGTAATTAATTTATTTATTTTTGGCAACTCCGTCCCACCGCGCACATAAACGCCATGACCCACCAGATATCCTCTTGTTCTTCACCAAGCACCCGTCATTGCCAAAATTGCCGTAGTCATAAACAAAACTTTGATTAGCGCATCGTGTAGAGCTCGTCGAGAGGAATATATTTCCGTATCGTTCGCCTTCAACAGACATAAAATGACGTCGCAACGCAGTTTATGCGAGAGCCGGGCGCTTATGGGAACCCGGGGTGTCCCGCCATAAGGTTCATTTGCTCTCGACGCAATGCTTAAAGCCGGCGTAATGTTTCACAGACCACATTTGCAAGGACTTGCAAACAAAACGGCACTCGATTGCGGGAGGAGGTAAAACATTTAAAAAACCTCACTTAACATCCATCGCCGACCTCCATAGCAAGCACTCGTCACCATCGCCGTTGTAACCGTAGCCATCGAAGATAAACGGAGCCGATAAAAGTCGTTTCCATTTGGCAAAGCGTTGCGCAAAAATCTCACCACGCCCTGGCACACGGCACGGAATGTGCTCCACGTGGCCTCAATAAAGGTGGAAAGGTCAAGCTCACATCAATGATTGTAAGATTTAAACATTTAATTGCACTGTTACTTTGCCTGTGTTGCGAGGCAGCACAACTGAGAATACCCGCGCAGTAGTCATGACCGTCCCTTACCCACGAAAAATTGACCGATTCTCAACTTTTTTCTCGTCCTTGCAGCAGCTGCTGCTTTTGGCTAACCGTCGAACAAAGACGGTGGTCACCGCCCATCGCGAAGGCACTTTAAAATGCGCTTCTGTGGCCGTCTGGAACGCTCTTCCTTCCGATATTATGAATCCACGGGCTGTGCAATTTCAAATCATCAAGATTAAAAAAGCACTTATAAAGAAATGAGTTATGTGTTTAGTTTGTTGTCCTTCCCCTAGCACCTCCGATTAGCATGGTGGGCTTAGGTACGGTGCTCAAAAGACGTTCAACTCGCATACGTATGTACATTTTCAAGACGGGCCTCGGCGACTTTTAGGTTATTTGGTCCACTTAAGGTGAGCAACGCAGGTGAGTCACTGCGAGAAAATCCACTGTGCAAACTTCCTCTCGCACTCCTTTGCACGGGCATTCTCGCGCTGTGTGTTCCGTCACGTGTCTAACAAACCTCGCCACGTCAGCTGCACGATGAACTTGCATAATTTGCGTGCCCGACACACGCGCACACACGCGCACACACGCAACTTATCTCCTTAAAACTGTACACATACACACAAATAAACACATATCAATGGGCCCGATTGAAGTTTTCAAACACAAAAAGTTACGAGTGCGCCGGTTGCGGCTTCGAATCCATTCACAGAGCGTTCAAATCTCCCAACGGAAGTCGAAACCAGAACCCTCGGAGACTCTGCGAGAGAGCGAGCGAGCGAGCCCATTCACGGTTTATCATTCCGGTCGCGACGGACGTGGGGAAGGAGGAACGCCGGCACTCTAGCGTAACGCTCAACACGTAACCACCCCCCCCCCCCCAACGCATCGTTGATTTGCGTGCGAAAACCGACACCGAAAAAAAAGCGCGGCTGGACGCGTGAGCTCCTAGCGCCACGGCAGCATTCTCACATCTTAACTTTCTAAGCGACGCAAAATGTACCCGAAAGGTTTTCACGCAACCTGCTTTGACCGTTTTATTATTTTTTCTTGATTACAAGTTGCCGAGCACCAGCTCAAAACGCCTAAGCGGCCAGCAACAAACGGCGCTGGCGAAGGTGCAATAGGTAGCGACGATGCGTTAGCGACGATACGTTTACTTGAACCGAGCAAGGCGGTTTCGACGAGAGCTCAGCAAGAGAGACGATGGGATTTTTTTTTTTTAGGTGGAGCAGTGCGAGGGTAGCAGCAGAGAGAGAATGGTTGTGAACTGCTGAGTGGGCGATCAGGTGAGCGAACAAGTGGCGGGGTATGTTGGCGAGCGAGTGAGTGCGAGAGTTGGTGAGCGAGTTGGCGAGTGGGTGTATCGTTTTGACCTCCAGTGCAGTGGTTGCACACAGTATGGATGAGATGAAACAGTCGAGTCTTGCCAACATGGGTGGAGGAATTAACTCGATGAAAATAAAACTATTTTTTTATTTTACAAGGCGAGGCCGACTGACTGAGCCATGTAGCTCTTTTTCAGAAGCGGCCTGGCCACAAATGACAGCTCAACAAAGTGGCCCACCACCACCACCATCATCACCACCATCACGTGGACATTTAAAAGCGGCGGCACAAATTACCCTACAAACGCGCGTTTCCAGCTGAGCGAGGCTCACGGGAGAAGCGGCGACCACGCGCGGCACGCTCGCATCCCCCTCCCCCGCCCCCAACGGAGACTCGCTAACCGCTCCCGGGGGGGGGGGGGGGGGGGGGGGGGCTTCCAACGCGTGGGGAAACCCGCTGGGGGTTTCGGCGGAATTGCCGCAGGCGCCGATCCTCCTCACCTGCCGCCACAGGAAGTACTTGGCGATCTCTCGCGACGGGACGAACAGGGCGAGACGCAGGACTGTGCGCAGGTTCTCGGGGAGACCGTCCGCCTCAAAGAACTCGTACTCCCAGCTGTCCGCGTCGGGCACGGGCAGGTACAAGCACAGGCACAGCATGGCCCCCCGCGGCTGTCTCGTCGAGCGGCTGCGCAGTCTTAAAGCGGGCGAGGTCGCAGCGAGCAGGCCTGGAGCGCGGAGGGGTCGCCTCGGGCAGGCAGAGGCATATGGAGTTGAAAAACGCCGGCCGGGGTTTTTCTTTTCCTCCGCGGTCTGTGACGCACTCTGCATGCGCGTGCTCTGTGTGTGGGCGGAGCTTCGATACCCCCCCCTCCCCCCCCACCTCCACCGGAGATTCTACGCCACCCCCCGGGTAGATATCGTCGCGGAATGCAAGCCGCTCACCGCCAGTTCGTGGCAGTCAAGAAGACGAGGCCACTGATCGTTTATCTCATCTATCAACTCGAAGGGACCGGTTTCCTACAGACGCGCTTCCAACTCTGTAGGCGAAGCGGGTTGGGAGGACGGGCGAGGTGGACTGACACTGGTTGAATGGGCCGGGAGTGAAGTCTTGTATAGCGCTCCCCGCCACCCCCCCCCCCTGCACAGCCTGAGAGGGTGCGGCTTTGGCACGATGACTTTTTTTGTACGATTAGAATGTAGGCGGACTTTGGTGCTGCCACGGAGCCAATGTGTGCATTCGTTCGTCACCCACCCCTCTTCCTAGCCCATACCTCCCCCACCTCCCACCCTCATGTGCAAGGCTCGGGCCGCGCGACCTTGAATCCGATACGTCGCGTGGCGGTAGCAGCAGCGACGCCGGCTTCGGCTGCTACGGCCACAGATTCGGGCTCTCCCTTCATACGGCGGAGCTGCGATCGCTCTAGGTATTAGGGCGCCAGGGGTGGCGAGATGTTAACCCCCTGGGGCCTGGTGAACGAAAGGTCGTGGGTTCGATCCCGACCCTAACGCCGGCTGTATACTTGGGAGTTTGCGCGCCTCTCGCTCTCCCTGTGACCGCGTGGATTTCTCTCCGAATCCTACGGTTTTTCCCTCCACATTTAGAATCGACACGCATTTAAGAGAGCATTTGGCTGCTACTTCACTGGGCTATCATTTGTGGTAGCTATACATGAGCCCAGTCGTCCTTACCTGGAAAAATACAAATATTTGAATAGCATTAAAAATATTTGAATGATGGGGGGGGGGGGGGGGGTGGCGGCGTCCTACACCGATTGTTGTGTTTTAATGAACTTGGTAGCAGAGCGCACGGCCCTCATTGCCAGCTGGTGTCGCCCACCGCGACGACAGGCAAGGGGGCACCCCCAACAGGTGCTGTACGGCCCTCGCGACCACGTGGGTTTTCGCGGTTTGTGCCGCCGCGCAACTTCTCCCGGACGTTTCGCTCCGCGTGCTCGGAACCACGTCCCTCCCCCACCCCCCCCTCTTTGTGAATCCGTCGTTTGACAAATGTACACAATTTGCCAAACGAAAACGGGGGATTTGTTTTTTATCGATTTCACAACGGCTCTTCACCGAATCGATTGCCGATTCCCAAAGCTGTGGAAACGATAGTTGAATCCTGCCAAATTTTAGCAACGGTCAAACCGATTGGCACGCGCGTACGTTCAAACCGCACATTTGGCGCGTACCAAACATCCATGCTAACCATCCCATGGCTAACATTAACGGCGAGTGATATCCGATCTGTACTGAACCGGCACGATAAAGTATCGTCAAATAACATTTTACAACCCACGTGGCTTGACTATGGCCTTCAAAGGGCTGCAAATGTACATGTACGATGCCTGTAGGGGGCCGCTAGTGGCTGCAGAGTTCAACTTAATGATTACATGAAACACACGCAGAGAAAATAAGATTCTCAAATGCACAGTTCACATTGTCACGAGTGTAAACTCAATATTAATCACCACCTTGTTCTATCCGTCTCAACCACTCGCCGAGATTAAATGTTCGTTGTTTGCCGTTTACAGATGACGCGTTGTCAAAACACTGCCCCTTTCGGGAGCAATTGGAATTGATTGCTTACTCAATCCACGCCTGCAAACCCACCAGCTCATCATCCTGAATGTGCCAGACCTCGCGACGTCTGGCGAGCTAATTGGCCTTTCCTGGTGAAGGAGGTTCTTAAGTACGGTTCTGCCGCCGTAAACAGCCGCGTTGCACCCGCACGATGCCCGACGTTTCCCGGCGCGTGCTGGTGGAGCTTCTCTCCAGTTTGTGTTGAGCCCCCATCTTCAGTTAGCCGAAGAAGAGGCTCCCAAGCGAGCCGAGCAAAACTTCAAACGTCGCAGCGAACGACACTCGTCGGGGGAGCCGAAGGACACTACTCGAAGCTGTTCCATCCTCCAGCCCGGATGTCGAGAACCTGCGGCCCTGAAGCCGCATGCGGCTCATTAAGGACCGCCGCTTCGTGACGTTATTTATTAAGGACCACCACCGTCTCTCGTATTCACATTGCATTGCGGCGCTTGAAAGTTTTTGGTTTTTTTTAAACCTAATTCAAAAGAAATTGCTCTTATTTTGGTTGACGACCCCTGGCTCCGGGCCAACGCCGATATCGCTCTTGTTGTTGTTTTTGTTGTTGTCACTGCTATATGAACACGTGAACCGAATGCCGACCTCACGGTGAGAACGGAGAACAGGGGTTATACACAACAAAGGGCGTACACAAATCCGGCCGCACGTGTCGCAATAACCAGCACGCTTCTTTACGAAAACCGCACGGGGCTCTCACGAACAAAGTGGCCCCTTCAAACGCCCCCCCCCCCCCCCCCCCCCGTCGCCGTGGCGAGGAGGCTGCCGCTCAGCTGGCGTGGTGCGGTCCTTGCCGGAATCCAGGGAAAAAAAAAAACTTCAAACGGAACCCGAGTGAACAGCTAATCGCGAACGTTTGCCGTCCTCTCTTGGCCCAATTTGGGCCCGAAAATAGACTCCCCGTGCCGGCCTTCATTCATCCCCGCGGCGAACTCTCTTAACAATTCGGAGATAAGTGGGTCAAACATCGAGCCGGTTTTGTTTTTCTCTCGTGGTCTCAACTCACGGTTACGTCTCCACCTGCTTCACTATTCCAAACCGCGTCTATGTTGCGCTGTTAGGTTTTTCATGTTAGGTTTTTCCACTTACCATCACCATTATTTAAGATCTGCTTTGAAAACCCATCTCTTTAAACTGCGCCTTCCCTCTTTTCGTTTGGTCGGTTGCGCCCCCCCCCCCCCCGCCCCCGGTTCCGTTTCCATATTTTCATGCATTGCGCATTGGGATCCTAGGATGGAAAGCGCAATTAGAGATTCGAAATTATTATTATGTATTACTTAACAATACATTTAATTCGTAATGCAAGCAGCATTTGCCCACTATTGAAGACACAGAGAGAGAGAACGACTCAAGGAGGCGCGAGGAGACACCAGTGACAAGCGGGAATGCAGCCACGCGATTTAACCGGCTCCAATAATTGCCCAAGCTCTGCAGTCCCTCTATGTATGAAGGTGTTCTCAGCCAATCAACGAGTGTTAACATCTGGGAGGAAACCGTAGCACCCGTGAAAAAACCCACGCGTGCGAGGAGGAAACACTATCCCAGTGTTCTTCAAAAATTTTCAGAGAGGGGCCAGTTTTGCCGATAAGACATCACCAGTGTGAGGGCCGCCGCACATTTGAAACCATTGGGGGTTTGACAGCAGCACGATGATGATGGGGGTGCTTTCACTCCGTGTGTATTGTTGGGGGCCGAATGTCAGGGGCCGCACCAAAGGCCACCAGGGGGCCGCCAGCGGCCCGCGGGCCTTGAAACAAAGAACCCTTCTCTTCCCCATGCCAGATGGAACAGACAGAGTCCATTATTCTGTTGTACCGCCATCTCTTGGCAAGCCGGGGTATGACATCTGGGCGCGAGCCAGATTTGTGGAGAAATCCTGTTTCGTTCCACAAATCTGGCTGTCGCCTGATGAAGCTAGTTGTAATTACTGACGGAAACGTCGTACTCAGATTGTAAATGTTGTGGCTTTGCTCTGCAATACACCGGTGTGTTGTACAAGTAACGAATTGGCACGTTCTGTTTACGTGACAAACCTTACTAATTGCCTGTGTTGGGTGGTGGCGGGTTTAACTACACATTTATATTTACGCGATCTAACCAAAAAACCCTGTAAAACAATAATAATAATTCCCCATTAGATGTTTACAACTGAAACTAAACTAATAGCCCTACCTCGACACCAGACAACCCATCCACCGGGTCACCCGTCATACGTGCGGTACCGCAAATGTCAGTCTCTGCGGAGGAATCTATGAATAGGGCGGGCGAGGGGGTAAACCTGAACCGCCGGTGTAATCACATACGGCTGAACTCTCAGATATTTTGGCTATTCCCGCCAGCTCGTGGAGACGACGATCCCCGATCCCCCGGCCTTCCCCACGAGCGCGTGACCGCAAGCCGCTAAAATTCACTTCACGTCGCACCCACAGAAACTTTTATATATATACACACACACGTACGCGCAGGCGGGGGAGTGCACGTGGCCTCCCGAGACAAGCAACGCCGCCGCTCTCGCCCATGCTGACGCGACAATGAACTTGGCGGCCCCAACGTAACCCTGTATATGTACGTCTGTGTTGTACTTCTTTCGCAACATACATAGCCAACTGCGCTAATCGGAGGTGGAATGTTAAGTATATGGGCAGTGTTAGTCTACGGGCAGTATGCATGTCTGTATGTTGAACTTCTTACGTACCGTACGCAGCCAACCATGATAATCGGAGGTTTCACTTAAATACGTGCCTTGGTTGTTATTATTACGGTGGCGAGATGTTAACTACCTCGCCTGAATACAGAAGGATGTGGGTTTGATTCCGACCCCGACACCTCTATATTTGGAGCTTGCATGCCTCTCTCCCCGAGGTCACGTTGGATATTTCCCTCCACATTTAGAAACATGCATTTAGGAGTATATGGCCGGTACAAATTTCCACGTGACAATCCACAATCCACTTCTCTGAGCTGCGATAGCCAGGTCGCTTCTGAAAAAGAGCTACATAGCTCGGTGGGGGCCTTACTTGGTGAAATAAAAAATATAGTTTTTAGTTCATCTCTTTGGCATTTGAATCCCGAACGTGCTCGACACGAGTCGTCACATCACGACAATGAGAACAGATTCGGAACTCTCACCGATCGGTGCGGCCCTCTGCGTTAGGGAACGACCCGCGGAAGCAGACATCACGGAGCTACCTCCGGGATCCCTTTGTCCCATCTGTACTGTATTGGACCACCAACACTGCAGGTCTACACCCTGTGC